ATCTATTCTGCTATTACGAATGATATTTGGTCACCACAATGATTCTGTAAAAAATTAATTTTATAATTTTCAGTCAAAGTCAATACGTTGGTCAAGTCTAGTTTCATTCAGGAAGCAAAAAATCCAGCGTGGATTGAAAACATCGTATCATTGAGAAAGAAGGATGAAAATATGAGAATTTGCATCATTTTTCAAAACTTGGATCAGATATGTTCAAGGAACGTTTATTCCTTACCAATCAATAAATTCAAGATTGAGGAAGAAGTTGTCTCTATGAACCATGTGACTATTGATGAAACTTCAGAACTAGAAGGCTCAACTTCTGACGATAAGCCTGAACCAGCACCATCGACTTTTGAAGAAGGAGGGCAAGCCACAGTTGATGATCTAAAGCAATTGAATCTAGGAACGGAAGATGATCCAAGACCAATATTCATCAGTGCTCTTTTAAAATCTTAAGAGGAAGGTGAGTACTTTAAACTATTACAGGAGTATAAAGATATTTTTGCATGGTCATACAAAGAAATGTCAGGGCTTGATCCCAAAGTTGCAGTTCATCATCTTGATGTTAAACACAGAGTTCGGCCCATTAAGCAACCACAACGAAGATTCCGTCCAGAACTAGTCTTGCAGATCGAAGCTGAAGTCAATAAGTTGATAGACGCTGGATTTATTCGAGAAGTCAAATATCCAACATGGATTGCTAATATTGTACCTGTCAGAAAGAAAAATGGACAAATTCGAGTTTGTGTTAATTTCAGAGATTTAAATCAAGCATGTCTGAAAGATGATTTTCATTGCCGATTACAAAACTCATGGTTGATGCGACTACGGGACATGAGGTCTTATCCTTCATGGATGGTTCCTTTAGATACAATTAAATTTGAATGGACTCTAAGGACGAAGAACTCACTGCATTTCGAACCCCCAAGGGAGTTTACTACTATAGAGTGATGCCCTTCGGACTCAAGAATGCTGGTGCCACATATCAACGTGAAACGCAAAAGATTTTTGATGATGTACTACACAAAAAGGTTGAATGTTATGTTGATGACTTGGTCGTAAAGACAAGAAGACGTGAAGATCATCTTGATGATTTGCGCAACATTTTTGAACGACTTCGGAGATATCAACTAAAAATGAATCCCTTAAAGTGTGCCTTTGGGGTTACCTCTGGCAAGTTCCTCGGATTTATTGTCAGACATTGAGATTGATCAATCAAAAATAGAGGTTATCCTAAAAATGCTAGAGCCTCGCAATCTGCATGACCTAAAAAGTCTTCAAGGAAGACTTGCCTATATACGAAGATTTATCTCGAACCTTGCCGAACGTTGTCATCCATTCAATAAACTACTGAAGAAGGGTGTTCCTTTTGAATGGGATGATGTCTGTCAGTATGCTTTTGAAAATATAAAACAATATCTCATTCATCCCCTTGTCCTCGCAGCACCAATTCAAAGAGAACCATTGATCCTTTATATTACTGCTCAAGAACAGTCATTAGGAGCACTCTTAGCACAAGTTAATGACGAGGGAAATGAAAACGCATTATACTATTTGAGACGGACATTAGTAGGTGTAGAACTAAACTACTCACCTATTGAAAAGATGTGTCTTGCATTAGTCTTCGCTACAAAGAAGTTGAGGTATTATATGCTGGCTCATGTTGTTCATCTCATTTCAAAATCTGATCCTGTCAAGTACATTATGTCAAGACCAGTTCTCTCAGGAAGGTTGGCAAAGTGGGCACTTCTATTGTCTGAATATGATATAGTTTATGTTCCACAAAGAGCAGTCAAATGACAAGCATTAGCTGATTTTCTTGCAAATCACCCGATCCCTGCAAACTGGGAGCTACCAGAAGAATTGCTAGATGAAGAAGTTTTCTTCGCTAACTTCTTACTATCTTGGAAGTTAAACTTTGATGGTGCTACTCGAAGGTATGGAGCTGGTGCAGGTGTGGTCATTACCCCTGAAGACAAAGTATTGCCTTACGCAATTACCTTGACAAAGTCTTGCTCTAATAACATGACGGAGTACCAAGCTTTGATCATTGGCTTAGAAATGACACTTGATATGCAGTTCTCTCAGTTGGAAATCTATGGAGACTCGCAGTTGATAGTTCATCAGGTTTTGGAGTTGTATGATGTTCACAAACCAAATTTGATTCCATATTGTCGCTATGCAACTCAACTTATGAGTCAGTTTGATCGAGTCACCATTGAAAACATACCACGCGGTGAAAACAGATATGCTGATGCTCTTACCAATCTTGTCGTCGTGCTTACAAAACCCTATTACCAAATAATTTCAGTTCTAGTTTGTCAAAGATGGGTAATACCTCCGTTACTCTCTAAAATGGAGGAAGTTACTACCATTTCAGTAGTGCAAGTTGAAAATGAAGATTGGAGGCAACCTTTGATTGATTATTTGCAGTATGAAAAATTACCAAATGACCCACGTCATAGAACCGAGATATGATGAAGAGCTCCTCGATTTTTTTATTATAAAGGCATCCTCTATTGTCGTTCATTTGATGGTATTTTTTTGCGATGTTTGGATGAAGATGAAGCTGCTCAAGCACTCGAAGAATCTCATTCTGGAATCTGTGGTGCTCATCAATCAGGGCTTAAATTATATTTTCGCATAAAGAGAATGGGGTATTACTGGCCCACTATGGTACAAGACTTAATCAGTTACGCTAAGAAATATCAAGCTTGTCAGTTCCATGCCAACTTCATTCACCAGCCACCTGAACCATTGCATCCTACAGTCACATCATGGCCTTTTGATGCATGAGGACTTGATGTCATAGGACTTTTGACTCCAAAATCGTCAGCAGGACATCTTTACATCTTAGCAGCAACCGATTATTTCTCCAAGTGGGTCGAAGTAGTTCCTCTTAAAGAAGTGAAAAAAGAAAATGTTGTCGACTTTATTCGAACAAATATTATATATCGGTATAGTGTACCTCGTTACATTAGCACTGATAATGAAAAACCATTTGTCAATAGCCTCATGGTCAAGCTCTGCATCAAATTTAAGTTTGTACAACATAATTCATTTATGTACAACGCACCAGCCGATGGACTCGCAGAAGCCTTCAATAAAACCTTGTGCAACTTATTGAAGAAAGTTGTCTCCAAATCAAAGAAGTATTGGCATGAAAGGGTTGGTGAAGCTCTCTGGGCATATCGAACAACATACTGAACTCCAACACAAGCTACTCCATATTCCCTTGTGTATGACGTTGAAGCTATTCTTCCTTTAGAACGTCAAATTCCCTCCCTGCGGATCGCCCTACAAGAAGAACTCACAAATGAAGAAAATGTTCATTTACGTCTAGATAAGCTTGAAGCACTTGACGAGAAGAGATTAGATGTACAACAAAACCTGGAATGTTATCAAGCCAAACTTTCCAAAGCCTTCAATAAGAGGGTTCATGTCCGATCATTCCAAATAAGAGATTTGGTCCTTGCAATTCGAAGACCCATTGTCATTCCGTATCGCACCGGCGAAAAATTCATGCCAAAATGGGATGGTCCATACGTGGTGAAAGAAGTTTACACCAACGGCGCATACAAGATTGTTGACAAAGATGACTTGAGAGTTGACCAATCAATGGAAAATTCTTAAAGTGTTTCTACGCCTGAAAACAAGTAACACTCCTTTACGCACGAGTTTAAACTACATGTTACTCCTGACCTGCATGAATTAAAACTGTGCACGACGCCAATCTAAAAAAATATATATATAAAAAAAAACTTGTTGCTCCTGGCCCGCATGAGCTAAAATTGTGAACGATTTGGCCAAAAATAAAAGTTCATGCGCTCCTTTGCACACGAGCCTAAACTCCTGGCCCACAAGAGTTAAAACTATGTACGACTTAAAAAAAAAATTACTTAGCTTAACTGAAAAAAAAAAACTTTTTTATTCCTAGCCCGCATGAGTTAAAACTGTGTATAGCTTAACCAAAAAAAAAAAATTTTTTTACTCCTGACCCACATGACTTAAAATTGTGTACGACTTAACCCAAAAAAAAAAACTTTTTTACTCCTGGCCCGTATGAGTTAAAACTGTGTATGACTCAAAAAAAAAAAAAAATTCCTTCGAAATTATGTTTAAACTTAAATTTTTTCTTTGAGATATCTAAATCAATCTTTTTCCTTCAAAATCAATCTTTTTTTAGTACAATAAATAATAACATAAAAAAAATTCAAATATAAACATCCATATTTGCTATATATATATATATATATATATATATATATATATAATTACAATTGAGGAGTTATGAGATCATAAAAAATTTTCAACCTATTGATCGAGGCTAGTGAAACAAATTCCTTCTCTAACATGGATCGCATCTTATCTATATCATGTATCTCCTCAACACTGCGAATATGAGACTCCTGGAGTTTGACACGTTCTTTCTCCATCACCACAATAGTCTCTTCAGTGTTCTGTCGTTCATCACGAATAAAGTCAATGCTAGATGCTACCTCGGCCCTCCAATCTTGCAGTCGCCAGATTTCATCATCAAGAGTCAATAGCTCTGCTTCAAATTTCAACAGTTGTTCACTCAAGTCAAGAACTTTGAATTATCCTCCCGATATCGTGCTATCAATTGTCGCCAACCTTCTATCTCTATCTCTATCTTCAGAGGTTAAAACTTTGACGCTTTCTTGGCGTTTTGAAAGGTACTCATCTACTTTCATAAAAAGACAATCCATTTTTCTCACCAAAGGATTTGTGTCAACATAGAAAAGCTTTTTAAGAGTATCTTCAATACTTGAAGACTTAGAGGTCCACCAAGTCTTCAATTCAAAGAAGCCATTTTTCATGGCATATTCAAATTCACCCTTCAAATATGGGGGCATCCCCGGTCAGAATTATTTTCTTTGTCAATCTTTCGGAAGTAATTGCTGCAATAGGAAGACCTGACACAAATAAAAATATGCGATTAGTTGTATACTAATCGAAAGGGCAACTAGATCAGGCTAATAAAATATACCTGAGACAGATGAAAATATCGGCATTAGTCTTGGAGATCGTGCTTCACCAAGTCCATATGGCTCAAGAAGAGTATTCATAACAGAATTATTAATAGCTTCTTGCCTTGCTTGAATAGCACATGAAGGATTTTTTTTAGAATTAACTTCCCCTTCACATGGATTGGTATGTTCTCCATCAACCAAAGGAAGAATCTCACCACTGCCGGAAAGAATGGACATGGTCCAATCGTTGTCATCAAATAAAGCTCCAATGATATCATTGTCAAGATTTTGGTCTCCACAAATACCTGGGATGGAATTTAATGTGGCAAGATCTAGGAGTGGAGGAAAAGCTAAAAAAAAAAAAGGGATAAGAGGTATGAAATATAAAAAAAAATGATAATAGTAATGAAATTTTGCAAGTACCTTTATTGCGGGATCATGGGGATAATTTTAAAAAAGATGATAAGTCATTCAGAGCATCACAAGATGGGTCAACCCTGTCTATGGGAGACTTTATAGTAGTATGATTTGTACTATCTTCTGACCGGGTACAAGCCAAATTATGTTCAATTTCTGTAGCTCTTGTTTGACACCTATCTTGAATTACCTGCTTAATAGAACCAAGATTATCAACTAGTACAATTGCGTTTGAAATCTTTCCATGATTTGAGCCTATATCCTGTTTCTTGAAAATACCCTTAGACATGCGGGATGAAAAGAGTGCATGATCAGATTTGTTTGACAAACTTACTTCAGCAGACTCCGGGATGTTTAAAGGATAAACAGATCAAACATTAGCTGATCTTGAAATAGGTGTCATGACCTTTAACATCTTTGGAGCCATTTGTTCTTGAGAGTTCAAACAATCCTTTGAAGTGTCCCATTTTCGAAGACGTGAAGGAGCTTTAGCTACTGTAGGAAGGGATTTCCCCTTCCCTGACCCGTCAGCTTGAGTTTTGAATTTGAAATTCTTAGATTCACTAGCTAACAAGGTTTTACAATTGATGTCATCTAGGTGTGGGAGTACATCATATTTCCACCAGTTGTTATAACTACTGTCACATCGATTTTCAATGCGAGCGCAATTATTAAGGACATGAAATCCTGCCCCACTGTTTATCTTGGTTAAACTCAACCACGCCCGATATAAAAAAGAGGCATCAAATGAAATTATTGATGGATATGAGGGAGTACTCGGTAATCTTTGATGAAATCCATGCTGCCTAGCAAAATGAGGTGGGTTATACATCTCAAGAATGCAAACTGGCCCACGACGATACATGACATGTCCACCTCGCATACTTGTCATTAATTCAGAGGTTTCATTTGATTTTTTCCATCATCACGACGAGGTCCTCGGTTTCCAAATACGGAATTGGTTGCCAGCAAAAATCACTGGAACTCATACTTCCACGCAGAAGATCTAGAAATCCTTTCGCTTCTTCCTCATAAAAAAGATAAGCATTCAGTGTATCTTTAAATTGTCAAAGCAAAGGATGATCAAGTTCCTCATCAACCTTAGCATAAACTCTTCGAGGGAAATGCAACGCTGCCTAAGCACAAAAGTAATGACCTAAAAAAGCATAAAAAGTCATTCTGAGGTTCTTCTGATCATATCAGGTGCTGCATGTCTCAGATAAACCTATGCAAATGCTTGCAACAATAGGGGGAACTAAGCTATATGTGACTCCAGCAACCATTCGGGAGGCAGTCATGAAGATAGTTGGACGAATAACATCATCCGATGAAGGAAATACAAAGCGACATAGCCATAAAGCTAAATAAGCTGCAATCTCTAAGTCTTCACGTGTTGTGACATCAATGTCAAGATCTAAAAGAATGAAGGGATTATCATCATTGACCTTTGTCTTCATAGGTTGTATTTCTGCCTGAATAGGTCTCACCAATCTTTGCTTTACAAAAAGTTCTCCATCCCTTTTAAAGCAATTTGTCATGACTGCTTTATATGCCTTACTCTTCTTAGGATCTGGAACACGTGTACCATCCTTGAACCAAAAATCAAGCCAATTTGAATGACGGGGATGATTATCTCCTTTCTTCTTATTAATTATGACAAAAGCCTTAAACAAGTGCAAACAAGTCACAGGAAGAACACTAGTATCAGAGTCTCTCAATTCAGTCAAGCTTGGGATAACTTCTTCAAAATATTCACCACAGATTGAAAGACCAATGACGTGTTGCATTTCCCAAAGTGAGATTCCAATTTCTCCTGCTCCTGTAACAAATGTATTCATTTGTGGACACCAAACTTCACAAAGGGCGCGATATACACTGTTAGGTCAAGAGTAGTCAAAAGAAGCTACATGCACAACATAAGCAAGTTCGTTGAAACCCTTATCTAACAACTTGCGGTAAATTCGTTGAGACTACTTCCAAAATCCATTCAGATATTGAATATCTTCCCTTGGGTTCAATGAACATCCCCACCTCGCAGTCCTTTGGTTGATCAGATCAGCAGTAAGTGGCTTTGGGATAAGATGATCTTTGGAATGATACGAAGGCGCGCAAAGTGAGGGTAGTCGATCTAACTTAACCATGTCACTTTTGTGCATGTTCTCTGGCAGAGGATATTCACTAATCATCGGCATATAAAGTTCAGGTTCATAGGTTATTCTCGAGCGGCTGCAGGGACCAGTCATGGGCTCAAGAGTTTTGAGTGATAATGTTGACAGCTCATTGGTTCTGTAGTTCTTTATCACAACAGTTGGAAAACACAAAACTTTGTCTTTCAAAATTGGATCTTCTGACTCAGCAATCCACTCATCGAAAGGTAAGTTTTTTCTTTGACTTGAAATTTTGATAATTTTTTTTCGATTTGGCTTTTTGAGATGAGGCCATCTGAAAAAATAATAAAAATAATAATAAGAAAAATAGGGCAAATAATAATTTAATATATATATATATATAAACATAAACCTTGATGTTATAAATAAAAGTGGGAATAAAATAATAATAATAATAATAATATTAGCAATACAAGAATAGATAAGTCACCTTGGGCTGTTACATAAATCACCTAGGGCTGTTATAGAAGTCACCTAGGGTTGTTACAAAAATTACCTAGAGTTGTTACAAAAGTCACCTTGAGCTGTTACAGAAGTCAAATTGGGCTGTTACAGAAGTCACTAGGGCTGTTACAGAAATTACTTAGGGTTGTTACAGAAGTCACCTTAGGCTGTTACAGAAGTCATTTTGAGCTGTTACAGGAGTCACCTAGGGCTGTTACAGAAATTACCTAGGGTTGTAACAAAAATCACCTTGGGCTATTACAAAAGTCACCTAAGGTTGTTACAAAAGTCACCTAGAACTGTTATAGAAGTTACCTTGAGCTGTTACAGAAGTCACCAAAGGGATGTTACAAAAGTTACCTTGGACTGTTACAGAAATCACCTTGGGTTGTTACAGAAGTCACCTAGAGCTGTTGCAGAAGTCACTTTTGGCTGTTATAGAAGTCACATTGGGTTGTTACAGAAGTCACTTTGGGATATTACATAAGTCACCTAGTGTTGTTACAGAAATCACCTTGGGTTGTTACAGAAATCACCTAAGGCTGTTACAGAAGTCACCTAATGGTGTTACAAAAGTCACTTTTACAAAATTCACCTAAAGCTATTATAGAAGTCACTTATTATTGTTATGGAAGTCACATTAGGCTGTTACAGAAGTCACCTAGGATTATTACAGAAGTCACCTAGGATTGTTACAGAAGTCACTTGGGCTGTCATGGAAAGTCACCTAAAATTTTCACAAAAGTCACCTAAGTCAAGACAAAAATACTTAAGGTGGTCAAAAGAAAATTAATAATAATAAAAAAAAAATTAAACTCATGTGACAGAAGCCGCTTATAATTAACACAAAAATTATAAATTGTTAGAGCGAATGTCGTCTAAAATTCATTAGAAACAGTTAATTAAAATTAAAATTAAAATTAATACTGTTGGAATTAAGTTAACCCAAAAAAAAATAAAAAATCTGGCGGAACAAGATTTATTTATTATTTTTTTTTAAAAAAAAAAGATCACCTAAAATCAAGTTAGTAAGATAAAATTCTTAAGTCAAAAGGTTACCTAACACAAATTTTTGGATAAAGATATTCGAGACTAAATTTTTTTTTTTTTTGAAAAAAAAAAAAGTTATTATCCCAACAAATTACAAGACACGAATTATTGTCAAGAAATCATGATTTGTTCCAAAAAAAAAATTAAAAAACAAGTTATGACTAAGAATAAGATAATATATATGTACACACGCGCGCGCACACACCTATAGATATACACACAAATCAAACCTTTTTATTAGATTGACTTGAGTTGACCTATGTGAAAAATTGTCAAGATATATATATATATATATATATATATATATAAAGGAGTAATGACAAATTAAAATTTTATAGACAATCGTTAGGGAACAATGTGGTTCTGTTGTCTGAATGTCAAATTTACAAAGTAACAATTATAATCAAATAAATAAAAAAGGAGGGTACAAACGATCGAAAACAAATCTGCCATAAAAAAATAATGCCACAAGTTTTAAAATAAAAAAAAAACTATGCAATAAACAATAAAAAATGAATATTTTGCAATAGGTTACACAAAACAAAATTAGAATGGCCTGCTAATTGTTGTCATCAAATTAAAGGTGGAATCATGTAACTTGATCAATTGGGTTCATTAACTATAAAAGAAAACAATTAATATATATATTATTTGAACAATATATAATATTTAAAATTTTATCACCTAATCAAATTCTTGTAACAAATTACCACTTACATTAACCTCTTAAAAAAAAAACTCTTAATAGAAGCAGTCATTCAAAATAGTATATCAATGGACAAGTCTACAAAATCACCCAACCAATATCACCAAATAATAATAATAATAATGATAATGATAATAATTTTAAAAAATAAAATCCAATGTTAAATTAAGTAAGGCAGTGATAAAAAGGATTTTGAGCATAAAAAAAATAAATAAAATTGTGTCAAAGATGTCACCAAAATAATGGTAATTGACACAAATATGGTACAATTACACAAAAAGGTTTGTCCCATTAAGTAAATAAGTCAAAGTAGTAATATTCAAATAAGAGTTGTACGAGACTAGCTCTATTGTGGCATCTTAATTTTAAAAAAAAAAAAAACAAAAGGGAGAAAACGAATCTTTGTTTATGCAATGTATAATTAGCATCCAAAAAAAAAAGGATTGAAAGTACAAGTGCAAGCCAAAAGTGATTTAAGTCAAAGTTAAAGTCAAACTTAGATATGTACTGCAAACAAAGCCAAACATATATATATATATATATATATATATATATATATATATATAAAATAACACAAAAAAATGGGTAAAAGTCATACCTTACAAACTTAATTTAAAGTTCAAACTCGTGGACTATCTTGCTGACCATAAAATTTTGAGCACACATAGCTTCATTTATATAGATATTCTAGTTATATGTATTTAAGTTAAAATAAGGATTTGTAATCCTAATCATAGATGGATTAAAAGTCTATATTTTAGGTCCATGTGTTTTAGTAAAAAAAGATTTCTGACTTAAGTTAGAAGTTTATATTTTATGACTCATATATTCAAATAAAAATGGAATTATGAAGCCTATATGGTTTTGGACTCTATACTAGTAGGTGACTAGAAAACAATAACTAAGTTGAATTCTATATCTTGTTTAGGGTTCAACATGAATTATAATTTCAATTAAAATGTATGTATAAATTAAATTAAATCAAATTTATTTTAATACAAATCGAGACCCATTTATATATTTATAAAATATTAAATATGTAAATAAGTTTCGAGGGGGCATTTGTAGACATTAAAAATTTAATTAACAAATTAATGTTTATAATTGGGCTCAAATCAATTAGATAAATAAAATTGAGTTGGAACTAAATTTCATAAGCCCAAATGATGTAAGTCTAAATGTAATTAAATAAGTTTGAGTTGGACCCAAATTCCACAGCCCAAATAATAGAAGCCAAAATATAATTAATAAGGCTTGCTAAATTAAATGGACTTAAATTCCATAAGCCCAAATTAAACAAACATTTAAAGAAGTTGGACTTAAATTCCATAAATTAACTAAAGCTTATTAATTTATGGGTAGCCCATTACCTAAAGTCCACATAAGGGTATTTAGGTAAAATACATTTATATGGATAGCTATTCCCCACCACTATAAATAGAGGTCTTGGGGTAGGCCAAAAAAAGAGAGAAATGGGAGAAGAAGCCAATGAGAAAGGAAGATCGGTGAAGCTCTGCTCGAAGTTCACTAAAACCTTAAAGCCTTGCAAGTTCATCTCCGAGAAGAAGAACAAATCGCCAAAGTCCTTCTTCAAGAAATCCAAATCATCTTCAAGACTTTTCAAACAAAGAACTGTGAGGAGATTCATCAAAAGTATCATCAAATTGAAGAATAGGAGATACATTGACGCAACTCTCGTTTACATCAAAGCCACCAATTGAAGAGTGAGAAATACGTCAATCTGGCCCTCATCTTCACCAAATTCATCAAATTTATCGAGAATCAGAGGACAGTGCATGTGCGAAACACACCAAAGAGAGTCAACACTACATTTTTTTACTTAAAGTCAATCAAATTAACTATTGTAATTTGACTTTATGTTGTGTTAATTCATTTCACGAAATTTGTCGTTACAAACTTATTACAAGGCTTGTTAATGAGTTGGGTTTAGATCGAATTTTGACTGATCCGAATTAGAATTCGATTTCAAAATATCGATCTAATAATCCGATGGTTTTCTTTATTTTTATAGTCAATATCCAAATTCGATAATGTTTCGATTTGAAATTTGACTCGATTTGAATAACTGAATTAACTATATTTAAATAAATTATACCTAAATTTCAATTAAATTTTTTCAAATAATCCAAATAATTCAGATTGGTTCATAATCGGATTAGATATAGGTATATCCAAATTCGAATCTGTGAAATATAAGATATCGAATTTAGATTTGAGTTTGAATTATAGATAAAAAATATTGACTTGTATCTGGTTATTCAGATTCGAATTAGAACCCGATCCATTGACAGACCTACTCATTACATATAAGTGTATGTCTTATCCATTAATAATCAATGATCTGTCAATAAAAAAAACTGTATTAGAAGAGATCTCTATCCAACTAGCAAATAGAGGTGCAATTCGAGCGGGTTGAGAGGTTAACCCTAGTCCAATCTTAGGTATATAATATTTAACCTTAACCTTAATCCTACCTCAACTCAAGGTACTCAACCCGAGTACTGCTCGAGTTGAATTTGGGCGAGGTCGAGTTGAATTCGGGTACTTAATTCGGGTTGAGCTTAAGTTACTTAATTCGGGTTAATTTTTTGAAATATAGATTTGATTTTTTTAAATGTACATCTAAGTTTTTTAAGTGATAAGAGATGAAGGGCGTGGTATAGATGATGAGAGGGAGACTAAGAGAGGGAAAATGACAAGTAAGAGAGGATCTGAGAGTGATGGAGGCACATGAATGAAGACTTGAAGTCAAGTGAAAGTCTGAATTTTAAAAAGTGAAGATAAATACTAATTTTAGTTAAATATATTTATATATATTCAGGTTGAACCCGATAACCCAAGTTCTCAACTCGAAATTTGCTTAATTAAGATTCAATTTGAATTAATTCAATTCGAATTAAGATTTTTTTACCCAAACCGACTCACTTATTTAAAATCTTAACCCAAATCCTGTTCTTTTGAAATTAGGCTCGGATCGGATTCAGGTTGGCCGTCCAAGTTGCATCTCCACCGGCAAATAGTGTCCTCTAATTTTTAGCTTTTGTTTTTGTTTCGAGTTTTTCTTGGAAGGTTCTTTTATCATTTGCTGTCTTTTCTAGGCCAGCCAAATCCCGCAAGTAGCCGGGACATAGCCACAAAAACTACGCTGTCAAATAAAGAAACAAAAATCGACACAAACAATGGACCAAATTCAACAAATCCACCTTCCGAAAGTAATTCAAACAAAACTACAAGGAGAATCCTAAGCCATCTCTTTCTCTCTCTTTGCTAGGCCAACAGAGAGTTTCTGGATCGGTAAACTTTTTGTGTTTGGTAATTGTGCATGTTCTTCAATCCCTCTTTTCTGACACAGGATTAGAAGAGAGAGAAAAAAATAAAGAAGAGAGGGAATGGAGAGCATACCCGGATGGCAGGTGATCTCTCTCTGTGGGATTGTGTCATGGATTGTGATATCGTCAATGTTCAATGTGACCCAAAAGCTTAGATCTTTGACCCAACCTTGGGTGTCTCAGAAAGTCGTATCTGGCACTCCTACCATCCTTCAGATCCAGGTTTGCACAACATATATGTATATATATTGCGTGCCCATATGGTAATTGTCTTGGGAATTCTTTTGTTTCTGTTGAATTTTTCCTGATTTTATTTGAATTGTGATGGGTTTTGCAGAAATACCAGCGTGGGCTTTTGGATGCTTTATTCTCTGGGTTGTCTTGTGTGGTTTCTGTGCCTTTCTACACTGCTTTTCTTCCTTTACTCTTCTGGGTACTCTCTCGATCTCTCTGAATCTCCTTTTAATAATTGTTCGTACAGCTTATAGGTTTTTAATGATAATTTGATATGCCGGCAGTTTGGAAAATTGAATTGAGTGGTTTATGGGTTAACATTGTAGAGCGGCCATGGCAAATTGGCTAGACAGATGACCCTTTTGATGGCCTTCTGTGATTATATGGGGAACTGTATAAAGGTACTCTCTATTTCTCTCTTGTTTGATCTCAGTTTTACCATTTGTTCTGTTGGCAATTCAATATGTCATTAAGCTATTTCCTGGTTGTTATGGCTCATAGGATGTGGTATCAGCTCCTAGACCAAGTTCTCCACCTGTTAGAAGAGTGACTGCAACAGAAGACGAGAAAGAGAACGCGCTGGAATATGGATTGCCTTCTTCTCACACACTTAATACAGTGTGCTTATCTGGGTATTGAGATTTTTTTCCTGGTCCACATTCTGATCTTCTAGTCTTGGGTGATGTTTGGATGAACCATGCAAAGATTGCTATTTTTTTGTTGGTTTAACAGTCAGGGGTGTCTGGGTCAACTTATGCATATTTCGACTAATCCTCCTCCGGGATTAGGGGTATTCATTAAGGGATAAATCCCTCGTGCCCTGGTCCTGAGGATTGGCAAAATTCAAACTCATGACTTCTAAGTCTACAGCTTATCCTATTACCACTTGAGTTACCCTTTGGGTTCAAAGATGAGGTTAGGCCTTTTAGGTTGCCTCCTTGAGGTAAGGCTGAAATGCTCAAAGGGTGCCCGTGTTTATTTACATGTTGTCATCAGCATTAAGTTCTGATGTCATATTATGCGGACAAGGGTTAAACCTCTGGAGTTAAAGATGAGCTAAAGTCTTCACTGGTCATGCTTCCAATTATCCGCCATATAGATGATGAATTGATGTAGTTGGGGAAGCAAGCTCTAGCAATGGTTTGCCAATGCTGAGCTTGATAGGTTAGCAATGGTTCATTTCCTATTTCTATTCATATCTTTTGATTCTAAACAACTAAACTTTAATCATTATAGTGCTTTAATTTGTGTACATCAATAGACACCCTGTATGTGCTTTTGTTCATGTTGTGTTAACAATATGCTTCACCTTATGCTTTAACATTGTTCTATTTGGTTTTACTTCTTACATCACTCTTGGATTTTGGGGCAATCCAGATACCTCTTGCAATACGTCCTATCCTACAGCCAAAATGAAACTGTCACTATGGAACTGGCAGGATTTTCCATGGTTTGCTTGCTTGTAGGCCTCATTGGCCTTGGTAAGTTTCAATTTTATCCTTAAGTTTCTGTCTGCCTATTCATTTGTGTTTATGCTTTCTTTGACTTTAACATTCCCAGACTGAAGTTTTTTTCTCTTGTTAGGAAGAATCTACCTTGGCATGCACAGCTTGGTTGACATCATTTGTGGCCTAGCATTTGGATTAACAATCCTGGGATTTTGGCTGTCTGTTCATGAATACATGGACAATTTCATAATTTCAGGACAAAATGGTATGGTTGCTTGTACTTAGCTTGTTAAAATTGCAGATTTTGTGTAAGAAATGAAAATTGGAGTCCTTATTCTACGGTCAAGCATCATCATTGCCAACCAAATGATCTACAGAATCCCAGAAGGGTCTTGGCTTTAAGCAATCTTGATTATATTGAGAATAAACCAAGCAGCCTCTTAAGAACCTTGATCAGAATCCTTAGATAGCTTGCACTCCCGATTGTCTTTTTGAACCAATGGTATGGCTTATCTATGACTCAAGTCTCAAATAAGGCAAACCATATGGCAAAACAAGACACTTCTAAGAGACCAATAGGTCTTTGGTCCAATAGTACTCCTTATCTTGTAAATGCTTTGTCTTCTTAAGGTTCAGAGTTCAAGTCCCCCTCCCCCTTGAAAAAGAGAAAAAAAGAGACAAAATGGTGGCAGGGACCTGCTACCACGAAACCACATACGAGAGAAGATATGCCTTTAAATATGTGTAGAGTTTGGCTACTGTTAAGTATAATTGTGGCACCTTAGATATGCACTGGAAGTGTGAATCAGTTTCTATGAACATGGAACATATCTCCTAATATCAGTTGGGAAAAGAGCTGCTTCTTTTTATGGCGGACAGTTCCCATAGTCTGGTGGGCCATGATCACAATAGCAGTAAGAGGGTGCCTTGGCCAAAAAAGAGCAGCCTGCTTCGCGGAATAGGCATCACGCCAGGAATAAAATAGATCAACTATCCAAATGGTGTACTAGTTTTTGCTTTTAAATGAAGGGAGGCTATTAAGAAAAACTATTATTGCCTAATATGTTGTCTCTTACAATAAGTTCGTCTACAAAATGAAGTATGTACCAAAAAAAATCTACCAAATGAAGTTTCTTTGTATACTTTACTGCTTTTTCTTTTCTCCTTTCTCTACTCTGTGCAATGAAATAGCTAGATGCATGTCAAAGGACCATGCTTCCTTTCATGACATTAAATCCAAGGGTGGCTGTTTTACTATTACTGAGCAAGTTTGCTTTCCCTTATCAGAAAATTTTCTGCAAATTCTGTGAAGTAAGTTATTGTCCTTTTTGATTCAGTGGGAAGTACAAATGGCCTAAGGAGTGCTGGTCCAAAACAATTGGGGTTGTTTTGGATCACTTAAATCGAGTACATCACTTGAAAATGCTTTTTTTTAGTTTCATGAGATGATATATTTAATAGCTAATTCCTGTGCAGACAAAATGCCAAAATTCAAAAAAATAATGACTTTTGTGGAAATATTAAGTATTTATGTGGGAGGAGGATTTGATTGAGAATCTAAAAGTAAAACCATTTGCAACCGACATGGAATAGGAACAAGACAAGATGCCAATCATTTATTTTTGAGATCAGATGTGTTCTGTAGTTCTTAATATGCAAACTTTGCTTTGTTGCAGTGACATCCTTTTGGTCTGCTATTACTTTCTTATTGCTCTTTGCTTACCCTACACCAGAGCTTCCTACTCCAAGTTTTGAATATCACACGGCCTTCAGCGGGGTTGCATTGGGAATTGTAAGCATACAACTCCAGCCTTTTACCTGTTATTGATTGACGTTTTTTTAGTTTCTGATCAGTTCTTTGTTTTTGGGTGAACTTATCATTAAAGGTGCCAAAATAATCTAATAGTTATACCCCTATAAGACCTTTTAACGCTGAAGCACCATGAATTGGAAATTCATGATCACTACCTGTGACGAAATTTTCAGACCAAAGTAGCGTAAATTTCTATTAGACCCTCTGTCGATTGGCCTAGTTACTGGGACACGCTGCTTGTCAATATTTGTCGGGTGACTGAGATGACAGAAAATGGTTTTTCACACATTTACCCATGACTTTATTCTGTTTACTAGAAAAGAGTCCTTAACTTATTTCCACGCATGCGCTCACACACATAAGTATGCATGTGTGTTTGACTTCACATTTATGCTCTCCCACCACCATGCCCATCTCTACCTGCCCACCACCACCAGCGCTACTTTCACCTCTCTTCTCCTTCTCGGCTTGAATCTGCACATTTCTGTGCGCGCAGATGTGGGTGTGCAACCTCCTTTGTCACCATTGCCACCCGCCAGCAGCAACCATCAAGGCTCTCTCTCTCTCTCTCTCATACACCCTCACACTTGCAGATCCAGGCACTCTGTCGACTCTATATTCCACCTCACCCACCACTCCATCTTGGCTTTAAATGCGGCGAGAAACTGACCTCTCAGCCTCAACTTCGAGGAAGAAGATGAACTGGCCTATCAGTATCTGAGCTTTGATGCTTGTGCAAAATAAAGTATTTTGCCTCAAATTTTCCCCGCAATAACCAGATGGTTGGTTGGCATTGTGTACGCCTGATTTGGTTGGTGGAGAATAATTGAGAAAAACAGAGGAAAATGTTGGGTGTTTCAGACTGGGGCCCACACCACACACATAATATCTTTATGTGTTGGTATTCTGAAGTGGGCACCTTTTGTAAACTGAACCTTTAGTATTACGTTGTATATCTTGGACTATTGTTACTAGTGTGATCTCTGCGAAATATAGAAGCATGGAGTGATTACCAAGTTTGATCCCCATTAACTGAAGGTGATGGGGGAGATGGACTAGGTATAGTTGTAACCTGTATCCATACAAAGTAATTGTCCTGATATTGGAACTCACAGCTTCATGGTTTTAGTTGAACTTTCTTAGAACTAAACGTGCTTACTGCTTATTGTAGTGTCAGTGCCATGCTTGAGAAATTGCTGCACTGCAAATAATACCAATTCAAAATAAAGTGTAGATAGAAGTAATTGTTCATGAATGTATGCAACCAAAAAATCCCTTGATGGTCCAGTGAAATTTCTTTGTTTTGCATTCTTCCAGTTTATAATTTTTTTCTTCTTTTAAAAGATTTCTTTCGGTTCAGAATCATAAAAACAAAGTGATCTTGTTATCCAGGTAACTGGGGTCCAGCAAACTTATCATCAGTATCATCATGAATACGTTCCACGCATCTTTACTCCTCAACTTCCGGTTCTAGCCTTTGTGGGTAGAATGTTAGTGGGAATCCCTACAATACTACTTGTCAAGTACTGCAGCAAGGCTTTAGCTAAATGGATTCTTCCCATAACAGCAAACATATTGGGCATCCCAATAAGATCAACCAGCTACATCCCAGCACTAACTGGTTCATCAACTGGCAAAAAGTCAGATGAAGCTAAGCAATCAGGTTATCTCCAAAAGCTGTTCTTTTTATCCCAACAGGACTCATTTGATGTTGATACCGGTATAAGGCTCCTTCAGTATGCTGGTCTAGCGTGGTCGGTGGTAGACCTTGTTCCTTCTCTATTCACTCACCTGAGCTTGTGAGATGCTTTGCAGTTCTTGTAAGAACTTACTTGCCTTTTTCTTTTGGGCCTTTGGTTCCTCTTTTTGGGCAATATTATAGAGAATATATTGGTATGCTGATTTTGTAGGGCAGACATTATTGAGGAAGCATCTTTTATTTCTTCATTTTATGTAATATATGGTATTGTAAATGAAGATACTCGCCTTCCTTGATTTTTAACAATTAACGAGCCTGAAATTCCTGCGGGATATTCAAATGGTTGGTATTTGGTACTGTTTTCTTTTATGTATGCGATTGGATTATTTTTTATTTACATATCATATTGGTTTTTTGAGATTGTCGCTCTCAAGGGAGAGAGGGGGGTGGGGTTAAAAATGCTTCTCCTCAATGAGTAAGTACACAGATCAACCTGCCAAGCAAAATATAGTGCTTGCAGTTTTCGGTGTTTTACAGGATTTCACTGTGAAATAGGTCAATTTCACTGTGAAATACAGTAAAGTACGTTTAATTCCATTGTTTTAGGCAATGAAATATGTCTTTTAAGCAAAATGTAGTGCTTGCAACTTTTGTTGTTTTACATGACACGGATGTGACATTGACATAGGTTAATTTCAGGGACTTGACTAAGTTACCGTTAAAAAAAATTTCGCATCATATTTTTAAAATTTATTACTTCAAAGGTTATTTTTATAATTTTTATGGGTCGTTTTAAAATTGAAAATTTTATTATTTTTGTGGTTGATTTATCATTATTGTGGATATTTTTATCATATTTATGGATAATTTATCATATTTGTGGATATTTTTACCCGTTGTGGTAATTATTTTTTATCATTTTTTGAGTACCACAAATGTAATAAAAACTCTCACAAATATGATAAATTAAGGTATGGGATCGGAAAAAAAAAAATTTTGGTAGCGACATCAACCCTCAATTTCAGTGTCCAAACAATAAAATACATTCAATTCCATTGTTTTAATATGTATTTTACCCTTTTTAATTTTCTTATATAAACACTTCACTGTCCAATTTTAACACCAAAAAATTGGTCCAAGGCTCCTAGAAATAATGTATATAGACACTTCAAAGATTTCAAACCTTCACACATCCATTCAAATTGCTTTGATAGTTGCAAAAACACGAAAGCACTGGGAAACGTTTAGATTGCAACAAGCCCCTATCCTCCGGCAACGTGCAAAACCACAAGTACGAGACTCAATCCAACAACCTCACATTCAAGAGAAAATATATTATGCAAACAGTAACGTGATATCACCGATCAATAATAGAATATCAAATGAATTTAGTAAGTTCCACCATTTTAATAATTACCACCATATACTATGGATGATCTCGCTCACTTATTCACAATAACATCCAATCAACCAGAAGCCATGTTTCGTTATTCATAAGATACTAGACATACATTCACCCAAAACAAAAAAAATGATAGACAAATAGGATACTCGCCCAAAGAAAAGCATTATGCCTTTGGAACCATTGCAAAGATACAATTAAAGGTCACAAATAGAAATCTTTGTTTTTCAACCAAAAAATTTCTGATAATCTGTACAAAACTTCTTTCTACACGTCTCTGTAACATGAAATTCTGTTCAACAGTTCAAGACTCCCTCTTGTCCATGAAAGCCCTGTAAGGATTTCAATCCTCTTATTCTCGACTAAGCTGCAACCTCATTCCTCCCATTTCCCTGTCAAGAGTGTGTGTGTGTGTGTGTTTTTTTTGGGAAATTATTTCCCTGTCAAATCTAAGAAGAATTACGAACCTATAATCAGAGCTGCAATGCTAAATCTGGCCGCTTGGGTGAACCAATCTGCAAGCCAGAACTAGGTGAACTTCAAGCCTCGAATCTAACATTTAAATCGGGTTGGACTGGAACAGAATACTGTCCATGGTGCGGTGAGAATACCTGTTGAGATGGCTTCCCAGAAGAAAGGCCAAATTCAGGTGCTGCAAGTGAACTGGGATTTGTATCTAAAAAGGGCGGCCCAGTGCACGAGGTTTCCGCCCCTGCAGGATCTGGATTCCTAGAGTGTAATTTGCACGAACTTTCTGCCATGGATTCTGAATCAATATGCTTTGCAGGACGAGTGGATGCAGTGTCACTTCTGGAAGCCATGCCAAGTAATTGTGTAGACTCTGAGGCATCTTCTAACTCAGATTGTCCTGTTGGCATGGATGCTCTTGCCATCCCCGTTTCCGATACAAGTTCGTATCCATGTACACCATTGATACCATTTCTACCTGAGTGAAGTAGAGATTTCTGCCGAGTCTGGAGGGACTTTCTGGATCCAGAAACACCACACCTCAGTACACCCAACTCATTTTGGGAATTCACTCTACTGGCAGCTTCAAACATGTTTTCTCTGCCTAGTAAAGAAGACCTGTATGCAACCGGAGAATTTACACCAAAACTAGATGGAGTTGTCGGACTGCTTGGATGGCCATCACGTAGCAAATTAGTTGAAGATTTTTGTTTTTCAGATGAAAAAGCCAGTTGTGGCAATGATGCTTCATTTTCTCCCACCCATCCAGGACCAAACTCCAGCCCGGGAGGCAGAACACTCTCAATTTTCTTTGACGCAATTTTCCAAACAACAGGCCCAAGATTTGCGGCAAATCGAGCCAGGCTTCTTGTATAACCGTGTTCAAAGGTTAGACCTACCTGAATTGCCAAGGGAAGAGAAACACAAATCAGCTGATCTTAACAGGCCAAACTGTTCAGACAGATCACACCAGCAGCTATGCAGAATATGCATGTGGAAGATGCCAGACCTATCATACAATAGGACCAGCTTTCTATCATTCCAGACAAAGTAACGTTTCATTAGATGAATTCTTCGATGTCCTAAAAGCCTACTCAAATTCTAATGACCATTCAGCACAATGCAGCAGCCAAGTTAAGAGAAGACAAGTATTTAAGCCGACAAATGTCAGATCAAGATTTCAGTTATAGATCTTTAGTTTCTTCAATAAGAGCTAACTTAATTGTGGAGGCTGAGATAATAATTCTATAAGGTGTTATAAATGGAATGGTGAGGGTTGAAAGCACCAAAACAGTGCTCCCCCCACCCCCAACACCCACTACAAAAAAAAGGAAGAAGAAAAAGAGAGGAAAGAATCCTGAACAGCAATTAATGGAGCCTACAAAATTTCAGACAGAACAAATTTCTCAAGATACATACCACCGTTAACTGCTTCACACCTCCATCAAGGTAAGACAATACAGGGGGCTCAAGGCCAAAAGAAAAAAATTGCTTGTAGGTATCACGCCTTTTCTCATCTAAAGTAAATTGTTTCTTCCCATACTTCATGTCAGCCTTCAGAATGAATGCTGTAAAATTGGAAGTGATAAAAAGGCTCAATATTCCAATTTTTTAGAAAAATTTAAAAATAACACATCAGCAATAAAATACAGCAATCACAAGTCCCAAACCTGGAAACTCATCATTCCAATTGGACAAACAGTCAGAGTGGTTTTCACTATTGCGAGTGCCAAGGGAGTTGAGTGCTGAATCAGTAGGCTGAAACCTATACAACATAGGTCCTTTTCTCAGATTGTAGGCATTAGACCCACTTATATGTTCTTCTGGACTAGCGAGCGTCGCACCTGAGGAAAGCTCAGGACCAACAGGGTGGCTGACAATAGATTTTTTCATGTGTTTGCCTGGTGGCCTGCCTCTTTTCACTATTTTCGGTTGCAGCTCACCATCATCTCCTCCTTGCTTCAAATTTTTGAAGTCTCTTTTTGCCAGCTCTTGTATGGACCGTGCCTAAAATAAGCACCAACATTCAAAATAGAGCCAACTTCAAATATGAAGCAGAAGGGAGCTGAATATTAATAATAATAATAATAAAGCAAATAGGAATGTCAAGACTTGGATATACCTGCCGAAAGTAAACAGTATCTGATGTGTTATACTGCATGGCATTTGAACATATCAAGAACACATCTGCCTGCATAATTTACAAGGAAAGGATGGAGTCAGGGTACTGTTCGCTTACTGATTGTCATCCCCATATACAAATCCCCAAAGAAGGGCAAAAGGCAAAAAAATAAATAAAGCAAAAAACTCATGAAACTATGTTTGACTAGACAAGCCAAAGGTATCATACTGTATGCTACTTTAAATGAAGCTCCATGAGAGAACACAGGTAAAAAGGCAAGCAATATATCATGTCTTCAGACAAGTCAAAAAAATCCTGAAATAACAACACAAAACCATCACAGTCACCCCATTAAACTCTATTACAGTAGATTGACCCCAAATCATAACCGTTACATGCTTACTGTATCAAGAATCAAGAAAGCACAACAGATAAATCATATGAGGGAAGCATTTGATTACGACCAAATACTCTTTAGACCCCTTCAATGTAGAATTACATGATCGTAAGCAGAAGGCAGCCCAAGTGGTTGCCCTATTTCCACCCCGACTTATTCGTAAGCCAAACTCATTAAATTTGCATTTATTAGACCTGTTTCATCCTATTCATCAAACCAACTGCAATTAAAATAACCAGAACATCAGCCTACAGCAAGAGAGTTCACTTGCATTGAAACCAATGAAATTCATAAATATTTGGAAAAAACAAAAGGCAAAAAATGAATTTCAAAGGGATTATTGGAAACTAGGGCGAATGCAGGCTGCAGTCATACAAATTGACGAGATGTTTATTGATAATTTCCTTCACACTAACAAAAAAGCCCATATGGCTCTCTTTTTTTGTTTTCTCCATAATCCCCCTTTTTATTAGTAATACAGGCAATATCTTTTGCACTGAAGGCACTGGATGAGAAATGGAATCATTGTTAAGTAGAGAAAATCCAAAGTTAAAATACACAAGGTAGTAAGTACTGAGGAATCCACATACGACCTTTGAGGTGCACATTACAGACTCCAGCCTACAGCGAACAGGGCTGCTAAAACTACAATAAAACAGAAATCGAATTCCACATATATAAGAAAGTAGAAATTATACACTGCTATAAACGAACACTAAGCAGCCATTAGAGGCAAGATCCACCTTCTAAAATTTGTCTTAGTTAACAGTGAAAAGAGAAGTTACTTTGTTTACCAAAAAAGAAAAGAGAAGTTCCCATAAAATGATCTTTCTTGTGCACATGTCAGAAATATATCACATGCTCAAATAAGCAGGCACAAGCTGACACAAACAACAGACCACAAAATCGTAAGGTAGACTGTCATTGCAGACATGAATCTTCTTTATATATAAAAATCCACTGGAAAAGCCTTTCCCCTATCCACAAGCATGTCAAAGAACAGTTCAGTGGATACTTTAACTACATCCGCAATCCAGTAACAAAGTCCAATTGCAATCATCATTCTCTCTTCCCTTTAAACAATTTCAGCCAGTAATTTAAACGAAAAGCAGAGTACATGCTATATCTCTGGCAAATTACTGTCCTCTTGATAGTATTCATTTCAACAATGATATAAAATTACCCATCCAAGCTTAATGTTCTGGCTATACTCTTTTTTAAAAACGAAAAGCATCGAACAACGTTTGAAATACTTAATGTAAAGAATGGAAGTGGGGATCACGAAATTAAAGAATATGGGCCCTGGTCAATTATAACGTAAAGCATTAAACAGAAGTAGCTAAAGTAACACTATATGCTGAAATGACACAAATGCTGGCCTGCAATATACACCAAAGCCACGCAAATGCTGATGTTCATAAAACTAGCTGATCCAAATCTTCAGAAACTTCTCGTGCCTTGATTAACCCTAGACAATAATAATCACCAAAACTGAATTGAAATGTACCAATACCCAACCATCATAGTTTTAATATATCCCATCGTAGACAGTTCACAACTAACCTCCAAATCTTCCAAGTTTGAATAAAGTCCCTCACCGAGTTTATTCCTCACAGTCCCAAAATCCATTGGATGCTCGATAATTTCATGGTAATCAGGAAGCTGCATGGAAACTATTTCCATATCAACTTAATATATATGAATTACAAATATGAAAACTTCAAGTATCATCAGATTAAATGCGACATTTCCAGAAAAAAGCACCTCATTTGGATCAGCAGGTTCTGAGAAAACCCTATAAGCATCCTTCCTGCAGTCAATTTTGAATGGGCAATGCTTTAAAATCAAAATCCAAATGGACGAGTAAAAGAAAACGGATTTCTAAGAGGCTAATAAAAGAAAGTCACAGACTTTTGAAGTCTGTCAAGAATGAACATCAACAACTTTTTGTCTGGTAAAGGTGTCGTGGGCCCAGACTCCAAAGGCGACTCTGTCCATACATAAATGACACAAATTAGACTAACATATATTTAATCACTGAAAATTCCCAACAAATTGGAAGACCTGATTGGTACCATGTAGAGTGTCCGTCGCTATCAAAACCTATTCGTCACCAAAATTAACCCAATATCAATAGTTAGAAGAAAAATATTAACTAGATATAAATCAAGCAATTACTGCAGATTCAACTACAATGAAGGTACAGTTCAAAAAAAAAAAAAACTACAATGAAAGTGAGGGAATGATCCAACTCTCGCTTATTGCGGATTCCAACCTCGTCCTCTTTCCCTCTCCCTTCCCCTACCCAAAAAAAAAAGATTCAACTACAATGAAAGCCACAGTGAAAAAGGTCAAAAGAAGCAGATAATAAAACAACACCACAACTAGCACAAGCAAAAATAACTGAGAATAACTAAAGAAAAGACAAGATTGAACTTTTTTCCAAACATGCTAGTATATGAACAGAAAAGGGTCTATTAATTACAAACAATCAAGAAAATAACAATAATAATAATAATAAATAAATAGAATAATTTATCAAAAGCAAAAAAAAAAAAACATTGTTATATATATAGGCAAATAGACCCTTGACTAAGTCAAAACACATGTACCCACTTCCGATCTTGGAAGTCACAGAAAAGAACCTTCGAATTGCGCGCGAAATCCCAAAAAAATTCAAAACTACTGAAGGGTCCAAGACACAGAAACCTACAAAAGATAAACACATAATATCGAAAATAGAAAAACCCCCCAAAAAAAAAACTCTTCTTTTACCAATTTCCAAAACAAATAAAAAGGTAATGACACGAATTCGAATTTGCAAAAGTCCAAAATGGTGATGCTTAGCACCTGATAAGCATCGACGTCGTCAGATCTGTCATTAACGGTATCGATCTTTCGTTTGTTGTTCGAAGCCTCGGAATTCTCGCCATCGGCGTCCGAATTTGAACCAGATTCCATAGAAGAAGAACGAGGAAAATGTTGCTTCGATTGGGGTAAACGAACGACGAGTTTGACTTTTTTCTCTTTCCTCTCATCGTCGTCGTCGTTACCGACAAATTCCGTTGCAGGAGAGAGAGCGTCGGAGTTAGGGTTCAGACGGCTAGATCGACGTGTTTGGGTGTTTTCAGAATTAGGGTTTCGTGGTTGATTGAGAGATGGTTTTTGTAGGTCTGAGAGAGAAGGACCTCCCCTTTGCTTCTTCTTTCTCTTCTCCGTCTCTGCAGTAGCTACCTTACCCATTCTTGGCGTCTCTCTCTCTCCTCTTTTCTCTGCCTTTCTCTGTCTTTCTCCTTCCCTCTCCCCAAACATGAATATGGGTTTCGTACGTGACACTCACGTGACCGAGGTTGAGTATTCAAGTTGCCGTTCTTACAATTTCTTTCCATAATCTTTAATATAAGATGTTACAGATTCCAATAAATTTCCTAACAGTTACAACTAAATTCATTTAACGAGTAGTAACATTCCTCTCAAACTATTCATACTGTACCTTGCATTCACACATGAATTAACCATAGTTTCTATTACTTTATAAACAAAATTGTTCATGTTAAAAATAATAATAATAATAATATTTTGAAAAACGGAAAAATTTTTAAAATTTGATTTTAAAATTTTGATCAAAAAATATCAAAATATTTTAAAATATTAATTAAAATACATCGAAACAAGTCCAAATATAATAAATTAAACTCATTGAAAAACTTGTGATGTGTTTGGTAGGGTGGATGAGACAATAGAAGGATAAAGAGTGAGAATAATATATTTTTTATCTTTCAAATAAAAAATCATTTCTTTTCTTTTGTATTTAGAGGAGAGATGAAAGGTAAAAAGAATTTTTTTTTTTTAATGTTTGGTAAGATAAAAAAGTATAGATGTATATTTTACTATATATCTATACAAGAAATAAATGTATACATAATATGTAATTAATAAATATGATATATGCATATATTGAAGGATATGTAAGTAAATAGTAGACATTTTAACTCACATAAACTAAGACTCTGTTTGGTTTACGTCTTAAAAAATAATATTCGAAAACTGTTTTTAAAAAGATATGTCTAATGTTTTTTTGAGTGACAAAACTAGTTAGGTTATAATATGATTATAAAAATAATTATATAGAATATAAAATAATAAAACTTATTTGAATATTAACCCAAAAATTAATAAAAATAGAAATTTGGTGATAATGTTTTCTAAATTTTAGAAAGGTTGTTGTAAAAAACACTCAAAACAGTTCTAACTTATTAATTAACCTATTTTTTGTTCTTAATTTTCAAAAAATAAAATAAAAAACAGCTATCTAAACAAATTTTCTCCCACAAATTATTTCCAAAAACAGAAAAATAATTTATGAGATGTAGACCAAACAAAGTTTTAACTTTTCATCAATTTTTCCTCTTAATTTTGGAGAGATTGATTTTATTAAGTTAGAAGAAAAACTAATTCTTCAATTTTTTCATCATTCCTTACAAAAACATGATTTTTTTTTATCTATGCCTCAAATTTTTCATCAATTCAACATTCCTTCTTTTAATTTTTTCATCGTATCAAATAAAACATTGAAAATATACAAATTTTAGTATTCATTGAATGATTTGTTTCAATTTCTATAAAAACAAAAAAATTTCAAACATTTCAAATATATTAAAGGGGATCTCGGATTCACAAAAACAATTGTTGCTTTTAGGATTGGAACACTTGCTTAGATAATAAACTTGATGACCAAAAGAAGAAAAAAAGAAAAAAGAGAGAAGTGTTTACTGTCTGAAAAAGTTTGGCGTGCCATGTTTGAAAAAGTTTCAAAGGAAATGGCCCTATGTTGCTTGTTTACGTCATCTATGTGGGTGTGTTTGGATAATGGGTTAAAATGGGTTACCACTCGTAAGGACAGGTTATTAAGGTAATGGATCCCATAAAACTTTTATTTGGGAAATATTTTTAAGGCTGAATAACAATCTTAAGTCAAATCTCGACCCGGTTGCTACAGTAACATTAACCCCCATACAGTACAATGGTTTCAATTAACCCACCCTCCCCATAAGTTACAAACCCAGGCACTGGGTTACCCTTCCCACAGACATATTTGCCCTTCTCTCTCTTCAGCCACTCATCCCTCTCCATTTCTCCTGAGCGGCTGAGCTCGTCTTCAATTCACCGACGTCTAGGCCGCCGTCACCGCTACCACTACCCTTTGGGTTGTCTAGTTTCGTGTTTCTCAACCTCACAAAACCACTCAATCTTAACTTGCGAGATTCAATTTTCACATTTTGATGTATATTGAGTTTTGAAAGTTTATTTGGCGAAGGGGAGAAGAGCTCGAACGGTGGTGGTAGGCAGGGGGAGAAAGATGGGAGTGGAGGTGGAGGTGGAGGTGGAGGTGGTGGTGGAGGGAGAGATGGGGCGGTGACTTCTGGTGGCGGTGGTGGTGGGATGTATATGGCGGTGGTGGTGCAGATCGTCAATGGCTTCTGGGTTGTTCTGGCTGCTGGGTTAGAGGGATTTATCACAGGAGAATTACACTTAGGTCCCCTGAAACTTGTCATTTAATTATTCAAACCCCTGATATTTGAAATATTAAACACAAATTCCCTCAAATTTATACGCGCGTAATACTTACATCCCTCAGAATAAATATATTCGTTAAAAAATTACACTTAAACCCTTTTAAAGTTTGTAGTAGGTATATAATATTCGGACCCCTTAAATTTAAAATATTATATTTAGACAAAAAATATTTCAATCAAATATAAAATATAAAATATTATTTTACAATCAAAATTCATATTCTATTGTATTATTTATTGAAATAAAATTTTAATTTTTTCTAAAAAAATTGTAATTAATATATAAGTATCCTATCTATTGAAATAAAACTAAAAAATTAAACAAGGGGTCTAAATCATATATAATTTTAATATGTTTTTAAGTATATGTGAAAAATGTATAATTTTATTGGGATAATTCACCGGTCCAAACATATTAAGGCAATATTGTTTGTCTTTCTCCCATTGTAATCAATTTTTTAGAAATGAAATAAAATGTTGATTTGTTTGGAAAAAAAAATACAAAAAATATATATATATATATTTAACTTTCCTTATTTTTATATGTTTTTATGTATATGTGAAAAATGTATAATTTTATTAGGCTTGGATGGATTAACCAAACATAAGATAAGGTTGGTTTGTATTGAAATGGATAGAGTCATGGGTAGAATAGTAAATTACTACAAAATTATTTGTGTAATCTATGGGATCCACTAAATTATACATTTATTTCCCAAACAAATGTTAGGATTGGATATAATCTTGGGTTAGAGTTTTAAAATGAATGAGTAGATTTGACTTGAATTGATTAGGATATAAAAAAAGAAAACCTACACTATCCCATCCCATTACCCAAACACAACTATTTGGATCAACTCTTAAAAGAGTGAAAATTAGTAGCCAAAAGTAAGAATCAAAAGCAATGGCTAAGCCCACCTACCTCAATGATTATTGGTTAGGCCTAACATACTTAATAGTCACGACCTCTTCATGTTGTATTTGCATCTATTTTTTTTTCTCGTTAAAAAAATGGTGGAGGCAAGTAAAAGCCCTTAGCAAACACCCTGTTAGACCGTCATCAATGGGATCATAAGACTTCTAACTACGCTTGAAACACTTCTCGAGATCAAATATAACTAGATTAATATAGCGGTCAACTACCGAACCCTAATGTATTTACTTTTATTTTGCGCTAGACATAATATATTTGTACAATTGACTGGGGATAAGTTGAAATTTCGTGAGTCAGTCACTCTTATTACAAACCTACGTATTTGAATGATTGTGAGTTCTATTCGATTGACCAAATTCGTGAGTTAATTAATTTTATCTTTCTTTCAATCAGCTTGTTAATATAATAATTTTATATATAAAATATTCAAAAAGTTTAGTATTTTATTCTTCCTAACCTTGGAAAACAAGGGTTTAGACCCAAACTCCAACATCTTGCAACTGCAATGAAAGCTGTCTTGGGATGAAAAAATGGTGCTAGGTATTGCTAAACAGATACAAGTTTCATGTCAAAAAGTAAGTGCACAAATGCAAGTCTTCTAAAAGTCATGGGAGTCGGATGAAGGGTTTTCTCTATCATGTAGGTGAGCCATCAATCTCCTTTAGGGAATCAACAGGTATTGCAAACTGGTTTAAATACATGTTTAGTTTGAGAATCTTCACCTAATATTTGAGCAATGGCGAAATAAATGATTTGTTCATAGAAAGCTAGTATAACAATACTTCAATGTACAAATTTCAAATTCATCTAATTTAGGTATATTTGAAACTAGCTTAAATAGGTAATTTTTAAGGTTTTGGAGTAAAATAAGCAAGAGTATTTTGATAAATCAAATAGTACCATTTTAATTTCAAGAAATTGATTTTTTGTGCTTTTATTCCAATTTTTGGAGTTTTTTCACGTGTCGCATATAACTTTTTAATGTATTATATTCATAAAAATATTATTAATGATGTAGAAAATTTTAAAATTCAGATTTTGGGAAAATATTATATATAATTTATATATACACTAGTCATAACCCGTGTTTGAAGGTACGATAAAATATAAAATTCGAACGCCCAAAAAATTGATCCTACTATATTAAATTTTTTTAACATGTGTATACTATCGTATATGAATAATGTTTGAATCTAATTGTGATGTTAAAAAATTATATTAACTATAAATTAATCAAATATTAAATAATTAAACATATGATAGAAATGAGTGATGTGATATTTTTAAAAGAAAAAATATGTAAGAGATTAAAATTCAAGTCGCTATATGTTTTATTATATAGATGTAATTATTTTTTAATTTTGACATAAAAAACCAAAAAAGGCTAGAAAATTGCTCCAAACAAATTTTTTCAATTTTTTAAAGAACATCCAAACGAATTTGGGGGACTTTTAACCCATAAATTTTTTGCGTAACTTTTCAACTGTAGTTTTTCACCAAAAAAAAGTCAATTCTAGACCCGCTAAATAATCATACATTTATATGCATGAGATATAAAACAAATGTTATTCAGATCTAATCAATTAAAATTACTAGATTAAAAGTAAATTTCATTTAACATTAAAACTCACAATTAATCTATTAACTGCATTGAATTTGGTCGTTAGAGCATTGCTCAGGAGATATGTAGTTTATATACACGTATGTGTGAGAAGTTGTTTTGACTAAGAATAGGGTGGTTTAGAATGTGAAAGGGATTTTTTTTTGGTTAGGGTGGGGAGAGATATTTTAGGTGGTGACTCATACTCAAATTGGGTTTGATAGTTGGATTAAACTGATTTTTATTCGATTTTAAAACTAATTAATAATTAATCACTATATTAGTAATGATTTTAAATTTACTTGGAAATTAAAAAATTGGTTGACTATCAACTAGACTAATTTACTAACTTTTGATGATTAATTCAAAACCCACTTCGCCCCATTGGCCAGTTTCACAATCATTAACTTGAAAGTTTCATCATTCAAATTTACTGCCACCGCCACCACAAAAAATCAGAAGACTCAAACACCCGAACCCATCTCGTCCAATGCACAACAATTACAATCTCAAAATCGATACCCCTTTCCCTCACTCTCACTTCTAACCATTGATATTCCACCCCGATGAGAGAGAGATACTTTCTTGTAATTTTAAGTGGGTTGGATTATTTAGGGTGAGTTTGATTGTTTTGGATCAGTTTGAATTTTCAGAGCAATCGATATAATTCGATTTTCAAATTTGTTTTTTTATTTTTGTTCAAAAAATTTGTTTGTTGATCAGTGTGAGTTCAATATGTGTTGATGTGCCAAACTTCAAATCCGCCAAGGGGTTTCCATGTTATTTTGAAAATGTCAAGGAGTATCTGTGTTATTTGGTCAAATATCAGGGGTTCGTATGAAATTCATCAATTTCTTTTTTGAAAGTAACACCTTTCAAATTTCTAAAAATAGAAACACGGAGTAATTAATTAAATTACAGTAATTACCTCCACAAAAAGAGAGAAATTAAAATTAGTATTTGCAACGGAAAAGCAAAAAAAAGTTAAAAGGGCACAAGAGAGAGAGAGAAAAGGAGAGAGAGAGAGATTTTTATTGGATGCCAAAGTTTGAATCAGGTAAACGACACAAGTCCCACAACAATCTCTCTCCTCAACATACAGTATAGAATCTGAGCATCTAGTCCGCTACTTTCGCTTCTGTGTCCGATTCTAAAAAAGCTTAGGGTTTTACTCCAAAACTTGCATTCACCATCTTAGCTCTCGTCGGCCTCCGATCTCTTCGTCGAAGGTTCTCTCTCTCTCTCTCTCTCTCTCTGAAGCTAATCATTGTTGTGTCTTACAATTTCCCATTTGTTTCTTGCATCGTTTTTATTCGACGATTCAATGCTAGATTTTTTTTTTTTGGTTTAACGTAATGATTATATTTTTGAGGCACGTCCCACCACCATATATCTCTGATTTTTTCTCCTTCGCTCAATCTGTGAACCGCCTGCATTTTGTTTTGCATTTAGAATGAAACAAGCAGTTCGAAATCATTTTGTTATTGTATTTTTGGATTCAAAACAATCCTATAAAAACTAGTTTTGTTGTTGTTGTTGTTATTTAGCCGCAATTTGTGGTCTTGGTTTGATTTTAGAAATTTAGTTAGATATATTGTCCTTTAGTTATTATATTGCATACACTTGTAGTTGTTGATCTTTGCCTGTATCCCTTTCATTGATCAGGTTTCTAATTTGTGAATTATAGACGATAATCCACTGTGTGTTTAGAGGAATTTGGATTTTAGAGTGAATTTTTATGATTGTTGGGACTTGGGGTTTTTGGTCGTCATTGTGGATTAAGAATTTAGCTTGGTTTTTAAGCTTTTGTTGGAAGGATAAAAAAAAATTGAAATATGAGGGCCTCATGGGCAGATTCTGTTGACAACGCAGCAGTTTCTGGATCATATGATAATAATGGGACAGGTGCAGGAGCTTCAGCTCCCACCAGGTCCTCTTATGTTCCTCCCCATCTTCGTAATTGGCAACCTGCTCCTTCATATAGTGGCCCACCCTCTGGTAGTGATAGGTCTGGCTATGGAGGACCCACAACTGAATTCCGCGGGGGTGGATCTAGGTCTGACTATGGACGCCAAGGATATGGTGGTGGGGGTCGGGGTGGCAGTGGTTGGGGTAGCAGAGGTGGTGGCTGGGGCAAAGCGCGGGAAGTAAATCCATTTGGTAATGATGACATTGACGGCGATGTGGAGCATGCTATTAGTGAGCAGGAAAATTCAGGTATTAACTTTGATGCATATGAGGATATTCCGGTGGAGACAAGCGGGAATAATGTGCCGCCTCCGGTAAATACATTTGCGGAGATAGACTTGGGGGATGCACTGAATCTAAATATTCGAAGATGCAAATATGTCAAGCCGACTCCTGTTCAGCGTCATACAATACCCATTTCTCTAGCAGGACGAGATTTGATGGCATGTGCTCAGACTGGGTCTGGAAAGACAGCTGCTTTTTGCTTTCCAATAATTAGTGGAATTATGAGAGGAAATTTTCAACAGAGACCACGTGGAATGCGGACTGTGTTCCCACTTGCTTTGATTCTATCTCCTACAAGGGAGCTCTCAATGCAGGTGGGCTTGTGATTTAAAATACACTCATGGTGTACATTTTGGTATAATATGCATCATGGTTTAACTTTTAATTTGCAAGTTTAATCTACATGCTGTATGTTGACATGCAGATACATGAGGAAGCTAGAAAATTTTCCTATCAAACTGGTGTAAAAGTGGTAGTTGCATACGGCGGAGCACCGATTAATCAACAGGTTAGTAATGCTGTCTAGTTTAAATGGAAGTGTTGAACACATGACCTTTCATTCAGAGTTTACTTGTGAATGTGTATTATAGAACTTGATGAATGGAGAGTCGGAGACTATTTGAGCAGTAGATATGTGCTCACTTTCACTTCTTTTTATTTTTTTGAGGAGTTATGTGGTCTTTATGGTAGAAGTTGATGGAAGCATTAGCAGCCTGTGGATTATTACTCTTGTTAATTTTAGCAAAATCCACATTCTTTTTGGTTGTCCCAATTTTTTCATCAAATATGGACTGCATGACCTGAGGCAATAACAAGTAGTTGATGATGCATATAACATTTTTCATCTTTTTTTTATACTACTGCATATATGTGATATGAGCGAACAAAGGTTATTTTTTTATATGATCAGTTTTTCTATACCAGTAAATGTGCAAGCAATTTATTTTGTTAACGAGTCACACATCAAAGTAAGTGGGCATTAAGGAAATCTTACATTTACACTGCTCAAAGGAGCTATCTTGTGTGGGATAATTCAAGGTTCCCCGATTGGATTTAATTGTGGGTGGAAGTGATTTGATAGAGAACAAAAAATGGCCTGGCAGCTTCAAGTTCATCTTGTTAATGTTTAATTGAGGTTGGACTTCACTTGGCTTAGAGCTTTATATTGTTAAACAACTTTTTGGAGATGGCATGGTTCTTTGAAAAACAAAATTGGTTAATTATGGCAGTTATGGTAGGTCTAAAACTGACAACAAGGACTGTGCTAATAAATTGGTGGCTAGGACATACAGACACAGACATGGGACACATATACGACACAACACGACAAAAAGACACAAACATGACATTTCTAAAAAATAAAGGACACGGAGTCGGGACACGCTATAAATAATTGTGTGTGCTATATAAAACAATATAATTTATCGCAAATGTAGTGACAACGATATATTCTTCATAAAAAATTTAGGACTTTATGATAGGTAAATGTTGTTGTGCCTAGTTATCTAGTGTGAATTTTTGGACCAAATCATCATAATAATTAATGATCATCATTTTTTTTTTTTTGCAAACAGCGTGTACTTAACATATATAATTTAAATCATTGCTCTCAGTTTCTCAATTCGTCATTTTTAAAACTTTTATGCATCATTTGCTTTTATTATATTTTGAGTATGGTCTCTCATAGTATAAGATATTTATTAGTTAAATTTTTAAGCTTTGTTAAGCACATGTCAGCACATACTCATTCTTTGGTAGTAGAGATGACTTAAAAAAGTATCAGATACGTTACTAAAAGTGTCGGACACGTGTCCAAAATTATAATTTTGTCATTTAATTCTGAACACAGATAAAAGAGTATCAGACATGTATTTGAAAACTGTCGGTATCTAATATGTATACATCACCTTTTGAGAGTGTCCATACTTCATAGATTGGAGGAGAAGTTGCACCTTATTCTAACTTCATTTTTCATTACCGTTCCACTTGATTGTCCAAAATCTTTAGGGTGAAAGAAATATATAATGTATTTATACTATGAGTTGGGGAGATGAATTATGATTCGTGTTGACTACATGTCATTGAAGTTTAGAAAAATTACATATCATAAAAGGAGGAATATGACGATTGTAGTCAGGGAATGGTGGAGATGGAGGTGGAGGTGGAGGTGGAGGTGGAGGTGGAGGAAAAACTTGCATACAACTCTTAGGGCTGTTTTCTAGCAAGTAAACACTTACAAATATTATATATATTCAATCTCAATTTGGTAGCTTTCATAATTTAGGTTTTATGGTAAAAAGTGAAAACTTTGTTTTCCAGCTAAATTGCATGATAATTTTAGGTAAAAAGTGTTTAATTTTGAGGACTTGTCAAACGCGCTAAATTGAGTAGGTAGAAATCATTTTGTTTTTTTCCCCCATAAATTTTTAGAACTTCATAGAGTCAAAGTTAAAAGCAACTTCTTACATATGCTTTGAAACCTGAAAAAAGGAAGAGGAGGAGATTGAAACAAATTGAAACAAATTGAAACAACTTGGAGGTGATAAGTAACGGAGAAAGGCCAAAAGATGGGGAGGGATATCTGAAGTTGTAAGTAGTGTATAAAAGATGCATTGAAAAGTAATGATGTATTGGTTAATGTGCAATTTTATAAAATATTGTTTGTTTAATCTTTCTTTTTTGGTTTAGAAGCAAAATTGAGCCTGTGTTGGTGGAAGCTTATCTTGCCAGCCAATCCAGCTTTTAATTTAGTTTTGGAAGCCTCTATTTTGAATTATTTGGTTCTCTAGTGCAAAAGTTGAGTGTGGCTTATGTAGGAATTAGGAAACGAATAGGAAAGGAGTAATTAAACTACCATTACCATTTTCCTAGGTTTTTTTTTCTCAAGAGTAGTATTAATTGGTGTCCGTGTGTGTTCTGAAAAAATATTTGTTGAAATGACTCAATTATTGCCATATGCAATCATTTACAATTGCTATTTTTTTACATGAAAGGTTAACAAATATAATTTTTCGATTGGAATGATCTTGCAGCTTGCAACCCATCTTTAGTACGTGTCTCATTGCTATTTTTTATGTGTAAAAGTTCTGTTTTCCTTTCTTAATCTGTTTATCTTTTTTTGCTCTTTAGTAGATTTATATATTGTAAGAGCAAGTGATAAACCAGGAAAAAGTAAAGCATAATGAGAAAATTATTGTAGACAATGTCTATTATAACAGTCATCAATACTCCTTATTTGTAGGACAAACACGAGTTTTTGGCAATTAATGGGCACAATGCTTTAGGGTAAAACAAATTGTCGTGTAACACGAATGGTATTTGTTTTGCAGTACTAATTTTTTTAGATGTGGGATTATACTTGGAATATTGACCATTTGTATTGTTAAAGTATGTATGGGTTTATATATATAGCAACCGCGCCGTGTGATATATAGAGTTTGAGATCTCTTCCCACCCCAACGCACTGCACCCCAATGATAATATATTGCAAAGAAGTGCTCTTCCTTCAAAAGACGTTGATATGTACTATGAGCTATTGGGGAAATAAAGTAAGAGTTATATTGAAAGTGAGAGTGTTTAGAAGTAGTTCATTCAATGTAGGGTTTAAAGTGGGGAGTTATGCTCATGTGTTGTTTGTTAATTGGACAAAAACTTGGTTTTGCATATAATAATTCAAAATTCTACAATTTTAGAAAAGTGAGAAGGAAAGGAGCTCATCTCATACATTCAAAGATTAGGAACACCCAAGGTTTATTTATACACTTGAGAAGTTTCTCCCCCCATTGCCAATTGTGTTTGGGCTGGATGCCCTAACATGTTGTCATAGCCTCCAAAATGCGGACCTTAAATACTTTACTTTTCTCTTATTATTTTCTTTTTGATTTCTTATTTTTTCCTTTTCTTATGATTTTTTCCACCGCTCCCGTCACTATTTTTCAGCATCATGGTTGAACTATTTTAATTCGGTCCGGGAAAAAAAAATGTTGTCGATTGTTTCTGGTTTCATGATTGATAGGTTCGAGTTGTTTCATACGTTAGATATGCATACTTCCAAGTCTTCAGTAGCTGTTGTTGACAGTAGTTCATTTTTATGTAGTTGGGAGTAGGGGTGTCAATCGTGTCGTGTTAAATAGTTACGTGTCGGGTTAAATGGGTGATGGGTGAAAAACATACAAACTCATACACGACACGTTTAATAAACGGGTAAAAAATTTTAACACGAACCGTTTAATAAACAGGTAACAGGACACGAATCATTAAATCCATTTAAAAATAACAAAAAAAAAATAGAATATTTTTTTTTATTTCAACAAATTGTTATACTCCATTTTTTTTCTTCCAATTGGACTTTCCTCAATTAAAGGAGTTCCAACCAAAAGTCTATGTGATAAGCCACACCACAAAAATTGGCTAAAATGAGGAGGCCACTATCTCTTTTATAGGCAACTAAAGTCCCCTCTCCACTCCCCTCTGTCGATGTGGAATTCAAAGAAACTGCCATTCAATGCCTCAAAGGCCATTTAATGTCTCAAAGCCCCCTCTTTCTTACTTTTTTTTTTTTGAAATGTTTTCTTTACTCATTCATTATTTTATATATATATATAATTATTAATTTATATTATATTAAATTTATTTAAACGGGTTGACAGGTCTCATCCAAACACGACTCGTTTATTAAACGTATTTGGCGGGTCAACTTGTTTACCACCCAAACCTATTAAGGTCTCACCCAAACCCGTTTAATTCGTGTTGCTTAATTGTGTCGTGTCGAATTTTGACAGGCCTAGTTGGGAGTGGTTATGTTAATCCTCCTAATTCCTTGAGTTTATCTTTTGTACATTTTATTACTCAGTGCCTGTTTAACTTTTTATTTGTTACATTTTATTGCCAAGTCTCTTACTAGGAAGCACGAATTGGGATACGGATACGACGCGATATGCCAAATTCTTAAAAAGTAGGATACGACTATGGCTATAATATGTATATATATTTATATAATAAGATGCTAGTAAAATTGTAGTAATATGAGGGATTTATGGATAAAACATGTCCCAAACAAAAATAATTTTTTTTTTTGTTGTAGGACTACTTAATGGTGTTTTTTTTCTTTCTTCAGGAAGGTTGTTTTGAATCCAATGTTGTATGTAATTCTAAAGCTGAACATGTTCGAGAGTACTAAATTGATACTTAGCTTTTAATTGCAATAGACTTCGTTGGCGTTAACATAGGCCATAAAAACTCATCATTCATGTCAAGCAAATTATAAACAATTGACAAATCTCGTGACGTAATGTATTTTCAAATGAACATATTGAAATTAGGAACCCTATTCGTATGATTCATGGTTTCTACATAACCCATCTCACTAAGTATTTTGTGAATATATCCACTAGGAAGATATGCGTATCTGAGGTGTATCCGACAAGTATTCAATAATGATAAATATTTTACTAATTATTGGATACGTTTGAAAAGTATCTGATACATATCCACGAGGATCGGTATCCGATACGTATTCAGGAAGATCGGTTTCCGATACGTATCAGATACAGATACATCACTGCGATCGAAGAATCTGTGCTATATAGGTCTCTTATCATTTTGAATTCTGCAGAAGTGCTTTTCTGTTTGTTTTGGTTTATTTTGTTTATGGAGTAGGTCAAATCTCTCCCAGTCCCCATTTGATTCAGAGGTTGGTTTGCTTATGTGTGATACTGAGCTGCACACGTGAGGGAGGGTGTGAATGAAGCTTGTATCGTAAATCAGATTAGGTACACCGATGGTTTATACAGATGATAGGAATATAAGGATAGGATTTCAAAGAAGAGTTCTACTTTAAGATGGGATAAGCAGAAGATTCTCGCTTCCAGATCATCATCTATTCTAGCTCAAGGATTCACAGAATAAGTACCACAAAAAGAAGAGCTTAGAGCCTTAGGTTGAAAAGCAAGCAGCCTTTGAAACTTACCCATGACAGACAGCTGCAACTAGCCTTAGAGAAAGAAAACATCTAGAGGAAGGAAAGGAATCCAAATAGGGCTTGCTTGAGGAGCCACTTCATTAATTGTCAATTGGTTTTGGGTTGGATGTTCTAACAACATATAAACACACGTTTGTTATCTCATACGTTTGTGAGTCTCGTAAGTCACTCATTGCATAATCCATTGTGGTTATTCATTTTTCTCTCTTTTGCTGAGGGTTCTATTATAAAACTTGGATTGCTTGGACTGTTTAGTACTTATGCAGTCTCTCCCATTGGTTGTTAGAACTTGATTTTGAGCATTGTTTTCTTTTTCGCTGTTGGATTGGTTATCATATATGCAACCTTTTGTTATCCAGTGCTTGTTTGTTACTATTGTGACATTGTTTATTATGTGTGGCCAGTTACGAGAGCTTGAGAGAGGAGTTGATATTCTTGTGGCAACACCAGGAAGATTGGTCGACTTGCTTGAGAGGGCAAAAGTTTCATTGCAGATGATTAAATACTTGGCTCTTGATGAGGCAGATAGAATGCTGGATATGGGATTTGAACCCCAAATTAGAAAGATAGTTGAACAAATGGACATGCCTCCGCGAGGTGAAAGGCAGACCATGCTGTTCAGTGCCACCTTTCCAAAAGAGATCCAGGTTTGGCAATCATTTAATTGCAATCTTGAATGGCGAAAATTTTTCCGTCTCTAGCTAAAGCATATATTTGTACTTTTTGAGGTCATTTATATTATCGTCTTTTGAATTTTCTCCTTATCTAATACCAACGTATATATGTACAATATGAGGTGATATTACTTTCCCCAAAAAATATGAGGTGCTATTTATATTTTGGGTGGTGTGGTTGGAAAGGAACAATAGAATCGAAAGAAGAATATGCGGAACTCCTTTGGGATAAAATAAAATTTTTGGATTTCCTTTGGGCATTGACCGGTAAAGAGTATAAGATATCCCATTTTTCTATTACGCTTGATTGGATTACAGAATGTAACTAGAGGAACACCCCTTTTTGCTCTATAGGGATGTAATATTTTATTCTTCTATTTTTCCCTTTGGATGGCCTTCTTGTCCACTGTATTGTACTTTTTTTTGTTTTTAACTAAAAATTTTGTTTCTTATTAAAAAAAGAAAATAGTACCATCTTTTATGAGTTTCATGGGGTTCCAAACAAGGGTAGGCTAGTGTCATGAGGTTCCTGCCACTGGGGTGTTTGGGGAGAGTCAGATGTACACAGTTTTAGTCTTGCATGCGAAAAGGAGGTTTTTGTGATGCAAGCCTTTGACGGTTAAGTTCACAGTGGAGCATCCCTACTGTTATGCTAAGACCCATCCTTTAAATATTGGGGGTTCAATGCCCTTTTTTCATAGAAGGTTTAAATTTTTTGAGAATTGTGATAATATTGTTCCTGCTTGTGTAATTGTGTTTATGGCAATGGTGGAAGTGGTGTCAATAATTTTGAAAGCCACTTGAACTGTTAATACTATTTATTAATCACGGGAAGAGAATCTTGTTGATTGAGAGTGGTTTTCTTCAACATTTATGAAGCAAAACATTTGTTCCTATATATAGTGATTGGGCATGATATTGCTGGTAAATTATTACACACAACTTATCGGAAAAAATGATTTGCATATTATTATGTTTGCTGGTGCGGCAGCATGGAGTAAGTTTAACATGAGTGTCGCTGAAGATTGATATCATGCTTTTCAATTTAATCCTTTTGATGATTTTTCCAATTTCTTCGTGGAATGCAGAGACTAGCATCTGATTTTCTTTCAAATTACATATTTTTGACTGTTGGACGGGTTGGTTCGAGTACTGATTTGATTGTTCAAAGAGTTGAATTTGTGCATGAGAGTGACAAGAGAAGCCACCTTATGGACCTTCTTCATGCACAGATGGCAAACGGAGATCATGGCAAGGTAGTTTATTTTGTGTCATTTATGTTTTATCATGAAATATTATTTTCTGTGGATTGTGATATCTTTGCTGATTGATGGTACTAGGGCTTTCTGTTATGACTAGTGTTAAAATAAAGTGGAACTTGAGTCAATTTGATATGCCGTTTTTATCCAGCTTATGATTGATCTTTTGAGTTGGCGATTTTGTAGCAATCTCTTACTCTAGTATTTGTGGAAACAAAGAAGGGAGCTGATTCGTTGGAACATTGGCTGTATGTTAATGGGTTTCCAGCAACTACCATTCACGGTGACAGAACGCAGCAGGTGAGTGAAAAGGATATTTGAAATTGCAAATTTTCGTTTGAATTTTTTATTTCTCAGCATGTTTGTTGACAAGATGCGGGATTAATATGATAATGTGACTGTGTATACTTTTTTAGGTTGAGGCATCTATGTGTGGAGTTTCAGCTGTTTTCCTATGACTAGTAAATTACTACTTGAGTGCATGTAGATTCGGTAATGGTTTATGGTACTAGGAATTTTTTCACTTTGTAATATTATCGGCGTTACTAAAGTAATTGAATGATGCTGAACTCCCTAGAAACATGTTATTTAATGTTGAGGTGGCCAAATTACAATGGCTTGGCTTCAAATTAGTTTAAGATCAATGACTGACTAATATCCTGAATTGATTGAAAATTTTCTCCGAGTGGCATCACATGAGTTGAAGTCATCTATGTGGCTAGTGTCAACAATGGGGTATCATGCTGGGGGTGGATTGAAGTTCAGGTTTTTGAGTGGCTTTGACTTTATCCATTCAGAAATATGGGTTGGCATATACAGACTGCTGGGATGCTTACGGGGTTAGGTGGCAACCTGCTCTGATGAAGTTGGGAAAGCAAGGAGAATAGAGAACTTTAGGTTATTTTACTATCAAGTTTCTGGCTGTCCCTTGGTTTGATCTCATTGTCATTTGAAATGGGGAGGCTTTTGTGGACTCCTCAGGGAAAAGTCTCTGAAAATCAAAGTCCTATTGGCAATCTACATCAGTTTGCAATTTGCTTGGTTGTATGAAGACAGTTGTGATTTGTTTTTATGTTTGCATTATCAATTACAACGATTATATTTTGAGCCGACTGGGCAGGATGATGCCATTACAGGAGGCTATTGATTTGTTGTTGACTTCAAGAAGTTAAAAACTAAAGATGTGCTAGGGGTTTTCTTTGAAGAACCTCACTTGTGTGCTGCTTGCAGTACAAGTGACAGGATAACCAGTTGAAATATTATATCCATCTGAAGATTAGGGTCTTATATCACTGTTCTTGCACGTAATTAATTTGAAGAGAGATTGTATCTCACATAAAAAGATTAGGGCATCCAAGGTTTGTTTAGTAGCATTTTCACCCCATGCTAATATGTTTTAGTTGGATGCCCGCTAACATGGTATAAGAGTTGGTTCTCAGGTGGTCAGTAGGTCAAGTCTCTAAGTCCCTGTAGTTGAATTTCCTGGTATACTTGTTTGCATGTTTTTGTTTGATTCGTTAATCCGCATGTGAGCCCGGGTCATACGTGAACAGAGTCTGTGGGGTGCTTGTACAATATGAGGACCACTCAATTTTAATTTACATAGTTGATGGGCCTCTCCACTCTTTACCAATTGGTTTTGGTGTGGATGCCTCTAATATATTTGTGCAAAATCAATTAATTTCTCTTTTGTAATTCAGATTCTTGTTACTTTTGTGATATTTTCCCAAAATTTCTCAATGATGAGAGGAAGTGTTGTATTCTCGCATTCAGCATGTGAAACTTTTTTTTTTGTTTGGGGGCTTTTTTTTTTTTTTTGGGTGGGTGGGTGGGTTCTTTCCCTTGGTCTTGCATATTTTGACGGATTGGGGCTAGGAGCTGGCCATCACGTTTACCGATTGGGAATGTTTGAGTTTAATTCCACATCTTAATTTCTTGGTGAATGCCTGCTAATTGCATTAGAACATTTTTTTATTCAGCTTTTGATTATGGCCTGGATCAAAGTTGTATTAACTATGCTTAGTTTTGGCCATTAGTGTTCTTACTTCTTAGGGGATCCAAAATATTATTTGCTTTAAGGCATTGCAAAGTTTTGTTAACTATACTGGTGATGTAAATTAGGAAGGGGAGGAAGGAATCAAGGAACAAGAAGAGAAGAAGGGGATGGGAAATCAGAAGAAAAAGTAGAGATTTTGGGAAGTAAGCAATATCAATATTGAATAATAATCGAAGTTTGCTCAAAACAAATACCACTTCCCTTATATATAGATTATAAACCCTAAAGCAAATAAATAGTCAAAATGACAAATAACTTTAAATCCCTATGTTTACGCCTATTATAAGGGAAAACAATTTGATTCCCCCTGGCTGGCTGAAAAAAAATTGCCTCCGGAGAAATACGATGATGATAATGCTCTAGAAGATCAGTGTCAAGTCGATGAAAATTGTTCTCTGTAATCCACGAAGCATTAGTCTTGTGACAATATCTTGACCGAACCAAAACCAGATAATGACGATAACCTCCATCAGATGAACAAATGGTTTGATCCTCAAGTACATCTTCAATCTGGTCATGGATCTGTGGTAGAAATGGTGGAAGAACCAGAGCTGTAGATGATGCTGATGAGGAAGGGACTCCACTTGTGCTGGCAACACAGGAAGCTCAAAAGTACCATGATAAGGATATAAGCCCTCCACCACATTGAAAATAGGACTAGTATTCATATTAGAAGGTAAGTCAAAGTGATATGTATTAGGTCTAAGCTTACAAAGAATATAGAAAAGGCAAGTGGCTTAGGCATTCAACTTTTTGAAGGAATGTTTAGGGTAGCGTTCAGGTCGCAAATGAACCATGACATAATCTCCCACATTAAATTCCTTATTCCTACGGTGATCATTAGCAACCAATTTATAATTCTCATTACTTAATGCAATTTTCTGTTTTATATCGTTATGGAGAGTTCACAGATGTGTTGGGCAAAAACTTTGGTGGATTCTGAAGGACGGGAATCAGGAGGTAAAGACATTAAGTCAATAGGCTATCGAGGAGAGTGGCCATAAATAATCTCAAATTGGAATTTACCAGTCAACCTATTTACGAAGTTGGTTTTATGCAAATTGAGCAGTGGGCAACAACAAATCCCTTCTTTCCTTCTTCCCTTCTCATTCTCATTATCTTCTTCTTGATATACATCAAGTATCGATCTACATCAAGTATCAGAGCAGATCGACATCAATAAGATTCGGCTATTAATATTTTGCCAACCCTGTAATAATTAGTGTTATTACTTAGGAGACCTGGGTAATTATTGCTTTATTACATTGCTCCATTTGATGCCCTTTATATTATCCTCATGGTTGAATGAATTTTCTCTTTGTTTCATGACTAGTACCATGAAATATATTCCAAGGATGGACTTTTTTCCCACATAAAACAAGTTATAGCTAATGGGATCGCAAGAAAGCTTTAAACTCCTTTTTCACCAATAAATTGATTGTCCTGATAATTTTTATGTGCTATACATATTATTATATATTTTTAAATATGATATAATACGTTACTTGTAATTGTTGAGTGTCGATCAACCTTAAACTGCTGTGTTTACTTACATATTTTCAGCTGATCTGGGACTAATCTGACTTTTTTAATTGATTATGTCCTGTTCGAGTTGACACGCACAACCCTTGGATTAAAAACTCAGGACTAGTACCCCCTTCGTTCTCACCCAAACCCACCTTTTCTAGGGCCATGTAAAATACAAACCTAATAAATGTAGATGCTAGTAAGGTTTTAGCATTAGTCATGCTGAAAAACCATAGTTGTGAGTTTTGCTTTGTTTGGTCTATATCTTTTTAATTGATCATACTGGTTTTATGTTGTTTTGATGTGCTGTTATGTGATCATATATGAAATTGTTGGAGTACATAGAAATTTCCTCCCAGTAAATGCAGATTCCAATAACAAGAAGCCTCTTAGCATGAAGAAAATAATGATTGTGAGATTTACATTGTGATGTATTTTTGAAATTATCATTTGATTTCTTTTTTAAGATGCATCCTGTTATGGTAGGCTCTAAGCTTTTTGATTGTCTCATTTTTACATATTATTCTCCTTCCTTTTGAGTTGACACTTTGGGAATGTACTTTCTGGGTTATGGAAATGGAATTTACTGTCTCTCTTCCCCTCATTTTGTTTGTTTTGGGTTGGGGGGGGGGGGGAGTTGTGTGGGTAGGTGGGTGTGTGTGTGTGGGAGAGAGAGAATTCTGTTGGTTGTTTTTGGGTGGGTGGGTTGGGGGATAGGATTCTAAGCTGTGAAAACAATAAATTTAAGCTTTCCAAATCATTACTTTAATGAATTTCTTCCCAGATTAACACATCATATCTGGCTAAAATGAGTCAAATGGACCAAAATTAATGGAAATGATGGAAACTGGCTTCTATATTGAGCAGTACAGATGATCGGCAATAGATATGGCCCTTGTTTTTGCTTACATATTCTGATGTTATGCAAGATCTGAAGTTACTTTGTGTTTATTGTCAGCATGATGGGTTGGTCATTTTATTCCCATGTTATACGTTTTGTTATGCAACAAATAGCCCTTATAACATAACTATGGATTTACATGCAGGAAAGAGAACAAGCATTGAGATCATTCAAGAGTGGGAATACGCCAATTTTGGTTGCAACAGATGTAGCAGCCCGTGGTCTCGATATTCCTCACGTTGCTCATGTGGTCAACTTTGACCTTCCCAATGACGTTGATGATTATGTCCACAGGATAGGACGGACAGGGCGTGCTGGTAAGACAGGATTGGCAACGGCTTTCTTCAATGAGGGCAATATGTCATTGGCAAAGCCACTGACTGATCTGATGCAAGAAGCTAAACAGGAAGTACCTGCTTGGCTTACTCGGTTTGCAAGTCGTTTTTCATATGGTGGAGGTAAAAATAGGCGCTCTGGGGGAGGGCGTTTTGGTGGTCGTGACTTCAGAAAAGACAACTCTTTTAACAGGGGCGGGAGTAGCACAGTTTACTATGGTGGAGGTAACAGCGGGGGTGGGTATGGCAGTTATGGCGGTGGAAATGGTCCTGGAGTGAGCAGTGCCTGGGATTAGTGTCCTGGAACATACTGAAAATTGTTTTCTTGTAGTGTACAAATTTTTTTACATAATTTAAGGATCATGATATTCTGCAGTTCTTCCCGGAATGTGGTTGAGACTTTGAGTTCCTTCGATTTCTTATGCTGTAAATGCATTTTTTTGGTTCAGAGAATGAGGGAGACGTATAATATTATGGTGGATAGTTGTTGAAAACTAACTAAACAGAGAGGGTCCAGCGTTGTAGTGTTAAGCTTCATTATCAATGTTATTGGACCTGATGGGGGGAGTGGGCTGCGAAGAGTATGAGGTGAGTGGTGTAAAGGTTTGGGAGGTTATTCATATTGATCTTGCATGCACATGTTCCTTTCGGGTTTCAATCCAGTTATTGTGAGGAATTACTCAAGAGTCTTGTGTCATTTTTTTCCACCATTCTTTCTCAGTTTCGTTTTTCAAGATGTTGTGGGTGCTAACAGGAAAAAGTAAAGACATGAAAATATTTAATTTAAATGAGTGTATAACGCATGATCGAAATAAATGACTCATGCAGTCGGTTTCAAATAATTGGGATATAAGACTTGGTTTGGTTTGTGGTGTTAATAGGAAAAAAGTAAACCTGTTATTTCCTGGAGAAAATGATGGAAATTGGGATATAGGATCTAATTGGTTGCATTGCATGACATAGAATAACTGCCTACTAGATTAGGATTTTGCACTGAAAAGTCTGGGAAGGATCAGATGTATACACTTTTTTTAGTGCGTTAGTGTGTGTAGGGTGGATTAGATGCTGCTGCTTACCTGAAATGAGTGACACAATTAGATAACGCAAAAGATAACTAGTGAACTTGTGGATGGATTGGGATTCAAACTCCTGGAATTCCTATCAGTACTTAGATTTTTCAAGATCAATGCTTTTGTGCGGTTAGTTGCAAGAGTTGGGAGTTGGTTTGTCCTCAAACTTTAGTCAATTGAATTCAAATCCAATTTAAATCCCTGATCTGAATTCGATCTTAATATGTGACGATTTTATTTTTACAGTTCATGTCCAAATCCATTAAAAATTTAAAAGGTGATCTTGTTTGAATTGCTTGTAGAAGCTAAGTTTTAGCAAATTGGATTTGAATTTCACTTCAGATTTATCCAATAATAGCTCAATTCCATCACAAAATCTATTTATAGATATATTAGCTTGCATTCCGTGCGATACACGGAATTTATAACGAGAGAGGTCTTCCTCCCACTCGTTCCTTCTCTCACTTTTAGAATCTGAGGTCTTCTCTCCCGCTCATTATTTTTTGAGCAAATTAATTCAAGCCAAGTTCACACTAGAAGGCTTATTTAAAAAAAGGTGATTCAAGCTGGTGGGAGAGTGGCTTCTTCCTTGTACAAGGACTGGGCATAGTGAAGTAGAACCGGGGGTCGCGCTGCTTGCTCGACACATCCTTTCTTTCAACCTTATTAGTGCTAGTAGGTAGGATGGGCCGGTTAGTTGGTCCCGGGTTGTTGATGTAGTTGCTTTTTCACACCTGCTCATTATTTTTTGAGCAAATTGATTCAAGCCAAGTTCACCACAACTTCTAGTGTACGCTTACACTACATAGGCGTTACCATAAATGTTTGTGTTGAATGTTGGAGATGTTATTGTCCATTACTACATTTGCGTGGAGAGAACTGTTTTAGAAAGTAAATTACAGTGAGTGAAACAACGCTGTTAAAATCACACAAAATGGAACAGGTAAGGTCCTTATCTCTAGTGGAACGTTTGAGTCGGGCAAGCAAGCAAGCTTGTTTATTCTTATGATCACACCTAAAGAGAAGATTAAAACGTCTGTAATTGGTAAGTCAATGTCACTCACAGCTATAAACAGAAAGTATTGGAATCGAAACCAATTCGCAATATACTATTATGGGGAAATATGACATCATTGAAGAAATTTGTCAAGACTCATGAACCAAGGGCACTAGAACTACTACCCTCAGCGCACCAGTTTCCCTTCTTTCTTAATCTATTCTTTTATTTATCAGTCGAATTCCTCCATGTTTCCCTATTTATATCATCCCAAAAATAAAGTACGAGCATGCATATACAACTGGTTGTCAAATGAAACAATATCAGACAATTGTGCAGCTCCACCATGCAATCCTTGACTATGTATTATTTCTGAGATGTTTGGGGTCAGTGTGCCAATAGAAGCTGTGTATGGTCTTAATTAACTCTGATAACTGTCTGTCCAGTCGTTCCTCCTCACTTTTCAACAACACTTCATCGATGAAGACCCTTCGGATGGATGTCAGCAGTTTGTTGGCCATTATCTAAATCACTACATTCCAATTGGGTGTCACATCTGAGTCATGGCAGTGACCATCAACAGCTGCATGAGCAAATACAAGGTGGGTTCCTTGTGAAGGAGCCCATGAATACCCGCGAGTTGCAGCTACACCTCCATCAATCATATCTAGTTTGTTAGTAAAGGAGTCATCTCCTACAAAACTCTTTGCAATCCGGGTTATCCTGTGATATGAAGTGATAATTTGTCACCACAAGTAAACAGTCAACTTGTTTGAACTTTTTGAAATTAACCTAATCAGATGTTACCTTGACAAATTCATTTCATGTCTGATTATCCAAGCAACACTTTTTCCTTCACGGTAACCCCATTTAATATTCTTCCAACCTCTCAGCTTGTTGAAATTAGATAGGGGTTTCTGGACCTCTTCAACACATAATTCAGCTGGAATCTTACGTCCCTCTGCAGTTGCAGTCCACTTTGCCTTCTCTCTTTCATTTATTGCAGTAATGGAAGCCATCTAAAATAAAAATACACGATACATAGTCTATTAGCAAAAATCAAAACCCATCCACTAAATTCATTTGCAGTTTGACATAATGCGTAATTGCAGTATCAAAATCAAAAGGGGCTTAGAAACACGAGTCAGTCAACTGAGCACCACTCAACTACATGGCTCCAACAGGAGCTCAATCAAATGCAACATAAATTCCCACTAAAATCAGAGCAAAATGTCCAGCACAAGGCAAATTGGTCCTCCCAGTGCTCGGCCAAAACTGGACACAGGAAAAACAAGAAAAAAGAAAAAGAGAACAGTAGACAACAACATGAGTTCAATGCAAACTGATCATGTCTAGCACCAGGTGCACGAGGTTAGTACTACAATTCTTTTCTCAGGATTGTATCCTATATCCACAAAATGTATTCACGTGAATATTTCCACTCCTTGGTTCAGGTTTCAGAACTCTTTAAAATATATTTCCCAGAATCAAATGGGAAAACCCCCCAGAAATATGGACCTTTCAACTCAATTTCTTGAGTGCAGTTTCTAAGACTTGACCTAGTTTTACGTTTGATGTTTCTATCTGACCCTACAAAATGGGAACAAAGACATGTAATTTAGGTGGATTATATGGATCTAAGCCTCTGGTTAAACTACTTTTGGACAGGTACCCAACAAGAAATTATTAAGCAAGTAGATAACTTTCATGATAGATGTTCTCTAATGAAGATTTCAATGTGAATGAAAATCCATGTCAAAAATGAATTGTTACAGAGAAACTTGTTCTCTTTAATGTGGATAACAACAGAGGACACTTATTGACTCAATAGTGTACTAGTGTTGTAAGAGTTGAAGCCTATGCAAATCTTAAGCATGGACAGTAGAAAATTATTTTTGGCAAATAATATTGAATTCCATGGGAATTGGGATATGAAACTAGGCTTCATGAGAAACAAGGAAATATAGAAACAAAAATTCTGTTTCTCTTCAAATCCATTGAAGTACTTACAAGAACAGAGCATGTGTCCTGGCGTATTATTCTTCAAGTACGATCACTCAAGCATGTGATTGCAGGCAATCCATCAGTAGCCAAGAAGGTTGTTTCAGGAAAACATGGCAGGCAATCCAATCCTAAACTGAAACAATTGACTATCTGCAATGAACGCTCAACTTAATTCACAAGTTTGCAACACTAAGCAGTGTGAAACAACTTGAATAATGAAGCACATCCAGGTATTCCAATGCCATAATATATGCAAGTGAGTGATGTAAATAAACAGATGAATTATTTTGCCTCAATCGAAACTTGTTTGAAGAGCTAGATTTGGAGTCCAATTTTCAATGAGGAACCCTTCTCCCTGCAATTTCCTCCCTATTAAATCTTCCATCCTAGCTTCTACTTCTCGTGTTTTTCTTTTTCATTTTCACGTAGTTCTTTCTTTCTTTTATCATTTGTCTGCCACTAACTGTAGTGGACAGGAAAAATTGTAATTTTTTCATGTCATGGATTCGTGATTGGGATGTATTTTCAGTTTAGTCACATAAGCTGGATCAAATTTAACAGAAAAGATCATTAGATTTTCACATGTTGGCATCAAGATGAATTAGTTCAACAGCCATCTTGGGATGAGTTTCGAGGTTAATCACATAGGCAGGATCACTCATGCTATCCAGTCAAAATTCACTAGTAAATATCACTTTGCAATAAACTAGAGTCAGTTGCAAATTGTGGCCACCACTGCACCACACATTCGCTACTTAAAAAGGCAAACTAAAACACGACACACTTGCCAGAAGCTAAATTAGTAAGCAGTAATATTTGATAACTTTTGCTTTCAACACGTAATAACATTCAACTATAATTAAAAGATCTAGATCTATAAAGAACAATGCAACATTAGTAAAAAATATCACCCAAGGTTTACACACTAAAAAACAGAAAAACTGATTAAGAAACAAGGGAAACTGGTGCTAGGAGTTCTAGTGCACTGGGTTGTTGACCAACTTATTCAATGGTGTCATAGTTTCCTCATAATAGTATATTCCGAACTGGTTACGATTCCAATCCTTCCAGTTATACGATGGAAGTGACAGGGACTTGCAAATTACAAACTTGTCAACCTTCTGTTTAGTTTGATCATAAGAACAAATATGCATGTCGGACTTAAAAACTCCCTTATCATTAGTCATAAGGATCTCACCAGTAGAGGAGAGACTCTCAGCAGGATATCTGCTTGTACGGCCAATCGAATCACGTGGAACAGTGATGACAATGTGGGTCCATGACCACGACCGTGGCTGTCCTTCAATGTCTTCTAATAACCATAAGTGTAAATTATGATCTTCACCAGTAGTACCAACCAGAGCCAGATGACCTTGAAATTCTAATATATCATTCTCGCGACCAATGACCCTTATCGGGGGAATCTCATGAAAGCTCTCATCTTTGAGATACAAAACAATCAAAACGAATTCATACCCGTGCTCTCCCCGCAATGGATGTTTCCAATACAGAGCTCCGTTAACATAAAGGGATTTTGTCCATAACTTATAGGGCGCAGCACCAAACCTTCTCCATGAAGCATCTTTGCCCTTGCTCAGAGTAAGGATCTCGCACTCGGTAGTACAAATAACCTTTTCACGATCACTGGAAGAGACGGAGCAAATTGAGTACAGCTTAAGCAATTTGTATTCGTTAGCAGTAGGATCAAAGCCGAAATAAAAACAAGAGGTTGAGGCGGTTTGGATACCTGAGAAAGGAAGATCAATGGTTTCAAGGATAGATATATTACAAATGGAGGCACGATTACCGGCATACAAACAGAAGAGGCCATTGATAACTTCTGTAAATCCATCATATTCCGAGAGAGAAACCCTAAGTTTCAATTTGAAATTGGAAGCGCGAAGGCTTACAGCAGTACTTGATTGGTCCCAGTACAGGAGGGGTGTGTTGAAGAAGTATTATCGGTCGCTTTCGGGATACACCATTAGGAGGCTGCCTGGGAAACCGGAACGAGCACGCTGAACTATGGAGAAGTGTTACGGTCGCTGACTGTTGAGAACCAGTGCTTCGACACGCACTTGAATCGCGTCAGAGACTTCACTGGAATCTCGTTATATAGAAACTCTTAAGATTTGTACCCAATGCAACAAATAGACTTCTGAAATTTAGTGTACAAGGTGGTAACTGTCTAATATCAAGAACTCCCCTATAGAATGACGTATTTATAAAAACACCCCTATATTTTCTGATGATTGGAGTATGTGTTTAAATGGTCCCTCTTCCAATCTCGAAGAATTCCAATTGGTCTCAAACACCTTCCCACTTTCCCAACCTGGTTATGATCTCTCCATGTTGGATTTGTGTTATAAACTTTCTTAGTGGAAATTTTTGGAAGTCGGGTTCCCTTGAAGTGAGCCTTCGGATATTTCACTCTCTTCAGAGCGAATATTCTTTTCTCAATTTTATTATTATTATTTTTTATATTTTCTCAAAAAATGTGCACTTAATAATTAATATTATAGCTAAATTATCAATTCAAAGCAACCTTATGCTTAAATTCAAAATACAAAACGGACTAAAATTATAAATATGCAAATCAATTTCAATAGTAAAAAATCTAAATATTATCACAAATATTAAATATTTAGTTATGAATAATTACGCTCGTATTGTCAATAAAAGCACTATTAAATCAAAAAAAACAAACAAAATATCATGGATATAATAGCTTAGAGTTATCAAAATTATGTCTTATATTTAATTTAAAGGGTCTGTCATGTATTCATAAGCTTTAGATATGGGCTTATACGAAAATGATAGGGTACACACAAACAAGACCGGCCTAACAATGTGAAAAATAAAGTCTCAATTTTAGACCCAAGTTTTTAGAAAGTTTCATAATTTTAAGTACATTACTAATCCATAAAAAAGTTTAAATCTATTAAATTTTAAACACTAAAAAAATATCCTAAAAAAACTAAGTTCAATTAAAATTTTTATAACTATAATTTGGATCCATGATCTAATCTATAAGATTAAAAACCTAAAAATCAAAAGTTAAAAAAAAAAAATTCAAAAATCAACTCATATTTATTTTCGCCTATTTTCTCTCTCCAATAAAAAAAAACATTATCAAAAGTTAAAATTAAACATTCTTTATTTCTCCGTGATAAAAATAAAAGCAAAAATTAAAATTTCTTTATCAATAACACTGACACATTTTTCTTCTGTCTCTTTCTCATAATAAATTAAAAATAAATTATTTTTTAAAAAAATTAATATTAAAAATAAAATAAAATATCATTTAGTGTTTTTGATTTAGGTTTCACATTGCCTTTGAACCACCCTAGACGCAAATTTTTTTTTTCAAGAAATATGTAATATATACATATAAATAATTTTATCAAAAAATTGAGGGTGGACCTGCTCCCATGTGGCTCCGCCATTGATTGCCGAATAAGACCCTTTTGCCTTTAGACTACAACAACTTTAAGGACTCTAGTTACAAACAATGCTCATTCTACACTTTCTAGTTACAAACTTTTCTTATATAAGTTCGTTTTTTATATATACAAAATGAATATATAAATAGATCAACTAAGTCCCACCACGTGGTTTGAATGCTGAAGAATAAGTTTAGTCAACGAGCTGCCATAACTATGAAAACTTGAATTCAACATTAGGCAAAAAAATTCGAATTCTCATATACTAGGCCGATACCTCGTTGGTTATAGAAATTCTTTTGTCTGCACCGGATTACTCCAACTATCAAAACCATCAGCTCTCCCGCTTTCTCTGGTCGATTCAGAGACATCATTTTCGTCTCCTTGAGATTTTTTAAGCTTTGAAACAAGAACCCACATATTAGCAACCTCATTTTCAAGATTAGCTTCTCTTTGTTTGGATTCCTCAATCTTCTTTTGTAGCTCAACCTCTCTTTGACCCTTTTCTGCCAAAGCAACTTCATATGAAAGCTCCCTCTCCCGGCTCAATGCCAGTTCTCTCTTAATATCCGATGATAGCACACCTTGGTCTTGCCGTTTGACATGAATGTCTCTCCGGCCGTGGCCATTACGGGTGGCACTACTAGTTCTGCGCATGGTGGCGGAATTCTTTTGAGCTGCAAGCTCAGCAGCTAGTCTTTCGTTATGGTTCATGAGCTTTGCGACTTCTTCTGACAATGCTTTCAACTCAACCGCTGCAGCAGAGGCTAAGCCTTTGGCATATGAACTCTCCTCTGCTAATTTCTGGTTCCGAAGCTCCAGCTGCTGCTTTGACTCGGTTAGTTCAGCCACTTTGTTCTTGAGTTCTCCAATCTCGGTTGCCTAATGAAAGGTGAAAAAAACCTAAGCCGAGACATTGGCTTAATTGACAATGACATAGTTTCTAACAAAAGTTCCATTATTCGATGGTTGAAAGATGCTATAAAACAAGCACATGGATGAAATATCAAGAAAACAAGCGGAATTTCACAAGCAACTGCAACTGCAGGAAGCATGGGTAGATCAGATGAGTGAATGTAATTTTCTAGGAACATGAAGCTCACACTTAGCTAATGTCAGAAACACTGAAGTCAAAGATGCTATATGGTGTTTGATGTGCAAAACATGATTGACATTATGCCCTGTTCAAGTTCCAAGAAGACATTTATTGACATTGTATTGTAAAGAGATTATTACGACTCTCGCAAAAACTTCAAGCATAAAGTGGATTCAATTGCTAAGTAAGACATTTATCGACAAGTTAAGAGATAGAGCTATATTGTTGGGACCAAATTTGGAGACCTACTGTGGGGACCTAATTCGTTGTGGCCATTTGGATAGCAATGGGTCCGCCATTGTATAAAGTATACTATTAGTCCATGACCACAATGCATTAGGTCCCCAACTTCAGTCCTCAAATAAAATTATTATACAAAATAATTAAGACTCTTCTAATGGTTTGCGCATTTTGTTTCAAGAACAAAAAAGTGGGGCAGATGAAACCATTGCCATATACTCACCCATCCGAAGTGGAAGATACTGTGGAGGAAGAAAGAAACTCTCAATATCACTTTTCACAATTACTTGCACATCAAGTAATGTAAAATGATGATATATACCAAGGGAGTATGCTGTGTATGCATGATCATATGCATCCTTGGAAGGGTCAAAAGTACAAATATTTCATCAATACTAACACAAATTCCTAGGAAAGTGCAATTTCAAGCATACCTGACTATGCAGTATGGGTCACCATTCATATATAAGGTCACATAACTATGAGAAAACCAGTTTATGTCTATGATTTGACTTCAGATATTTATCATTCAAAAAGTCTAAATGAACAAATCCAAGGAAGAAGGCGCTCACAAAATTTTCTAAAAGAGTCCGACATACCCATAGGATGCATCATGAGATTTAAGTCACGGAATCTATAGATGATGCTCTTAAACTTATTCTAATCTTGTCAACCTTTTGGCCGTATAGAATTTTAGGGTTTGAAACACAGGGTTGAGCAGATATTATAACTTTGTTAATAATTACAAGTCTCAACCACGTTTCTCCTAAGAAATGCCAAGATTAGGTCTGCATTTGGAAGCCAGAAACCAGGAAAGAAGCAAAGGAAAATAGAAGGTATTTTAATCTTCTTTTTCGATTATACTGTATTTTAATCTTCTTTGTTAGGTTAATTAGACATATGCGAGGAAACAAAAATATGAAAGAAAAACTTTAACAGTCTTGTTTCAACATTGGAAAGCCCAATTTTCAAAAGGTGGGCAGGGGAAAAGTGGATAAACTAGTAAGGAAAGGAAATCAAAATTTTTCATAATATGAATTTTTTTTGTCTTTTATACATTACCTCTCCTCTTCACTCTGTTTTTAATTTTTCTAACCTCTCAACAGCGCCTCAAGATGTATCCACACAGATGTCTACACTATGAATCATTACAATACGTAGATCGTGCAGCACATTATGCACAAAAAACTTTCCTTCAAAAATGGATAGAAACTCAGAAAGGAGGCAATTTGGAAAAGAACCTGAGCTTGTAGAAGCAGCCCTTCATTTGTATCTTTCACTAACATATTTTCCTCGTCCATGCAAAGTTCTCTCTGGACAATTTTTGTTTCAGGATAGCATTGTACATGACTGATCTCTGGGCTGGATGTTCTCAAGTCTAGTGCATCAGAGAGCTGTTGTTCCAAGGAGGCAATTGTTTCTTGCAATCCTTCACATTCACAGATCTGATCTAGAGATAAAATTTTATCAGACTACTCCCCAACCAGAAAAATCATGAAGTAATGGAAGTCCAACCAAAATTGGCTATTGTTTGTCCTGTACCTTTTGGTTCAGTTGCTCTTGAATTACTCGATTATCTGCAACTTTAACCTATAAAGAGAAACAATGCAATGCCTGTCACAGAAAATTAGAACCAATGTATGATGACCGACAACAGGGCCTGAGGAGAATTTCACTGCATGCTCAGTTTCTTTTGTTTATACTTGTTAATTCAGTTTGGAGTGTCTTGTTTTAAGTGGACTGAGAGCTTAAAGAAAATCAGCTAAGACAATTTAGATAAGGCATGCAAATTGAAGTAATTACAATGTGGAGCACTTGGACATATAGTGGAAATGACACAACCAACAGGTCAAACATGGTTTCGATTTTCAAAGTGAGTCTATTTTCAGAGTCTCTGAAAATGACATCATTCGCAGTTTTATTATCATTAATGTAGATTTTTAGCAATGATTTAATTTTGGTTTCATGATGATTTACTAAGGTAGGAATAGGATTCTCCCCTCCAAAAGCACATAAGTCATTGTAAATAAAATTCCTGACTGAAATGATCTCATTTCAATTCAACATACTAGCATGCTCTTAATATATAAAGTATACAGGGAAAAAATGGGAAGGTTTTTCGTGGTTAAGATGTACATTACCTCGAGTTCAAAGGACTTCTCATTCAACTGTGCCATCAGTTCAGTAAGAGACTGTACATGAAACAACTGTTAGTTTCAAGGGCCAAAAAGGAGCGTGTAAGTAAGAGGCAAGCAGCCTCTGCAATGAAAAGAAGCATAACTTACTTGTGATGCTTCCACTCTATTCATTTTGTCGTGAGAAGAGGTGACGGAATCTGAAATTCGCTTTTCTAGAAAAGCTATTTGTTCGTTCTTCCTTTTGATTTCATCATTCAGCTTTATTATCTCCACCTAAAATACAAAAGGATCATAAGATTGAATGTTATAGGCAAATCAAAAGCTGTTGAAGACCAAATGATATGCAATCAAGATATTACATGAATATGTTCCTTTTTTGAGTTTCTTGAAGCCTGCTCAGACAATCGCTTCAGAGCACTTGAATGGAGTGCCACTTCTCCAAACAAAATCTTTTGCTGTTCCCTCAGCAGATCGATTTGATCAATTGTCTTTATGCTAGTCTGGCACCACGAGATACAGCCATGCAAGAGCATTCTAATCACAATTTATGTATGGACTTGCTATGTTAAAATGCTCTTATTCTTCGTCGAATATAAGACATTATAAGAGTTGCAAAGATAATGCTACAAAGTGGAGAATATACAGCAGAATCAGAGTAGATATATTACATTCAAAATCATGCCAAGATGACTTCGCATTTCCAAACTTGGCTAAAAACAAGCCTTGGATTTAACTGTGGTATTAAAAATTAATCGCAATTAACAAAACTCTCTAACAATAGTAAAAGAACAGTCACCAAAAGTAAATATTGTTGTACCAAATGAATTATTTTAAGGCCTCATTTTGTTGGGATGGTTGTTTTTATTTGAGGGACAGGGGATGCTCTACACAATTTGTTAACAAACTGATAGATTAGCCCTAGTGAATCTATCACATCCCAACAGCAAGAACAATGCGCCTTTCAAAATCAGACCTCGTGGGGAATGTCTTTTTTTTTTTAAATCTGATGCTATTTTCTTGTCTTCCTTACTTTTTTCAGGGAGGGGGAGTGGGCTGAGCTGGCGGTGGCGTGAAGCAACAATCAAGAATTTAAAGTTTACTAATATTACTAGGAGTCTTCATAAAAAACTTTACGACAGACAAAGCAAAAATATCATTTAAAAACTTTAATACGGAGTATACACGCACACGATTGCAATATTTGCTCCAATACAAGATAATCTAAATCTCTAAAAAAATAATAGATCCCCATACCAGAGGAGTCTCTTGCTCCAGAAAACTATCCTCGGGAGCCGGTCCATCCTGTCTCGCCTCAGATAGAAGATCTGTTGATAGGGTGCTTTCTGTAAGTAAAGAATATGAAGGTATTGAATCCATGTGTAGATTAACACTTTCTGCATGAGGGGTTGAAGGTGTACTAGTAGACTTGACCCCACTTGATTTATCACTAGTGCTTCCCAAAGCCCCCAAGCTACTATCTCGTTTCTGGTGAATTAGAATAGTAGTAGATGAAATAAGTAACAAGAAACATGTTTTGAAGGATAAAGAAAATGTAATAGCAGGCACAGACTGAATTGGAAAGTTTTGGCAATATCACCAGCATACAAAATTACAATTATAAGCAGTAACAAGCATTCAAAATTACAATTTTTACATGCGATTAATTTTGGCAGAAAAATTTAGTGGCGTAAGATTTTTGTAAAGAGGAAGTTATAAAAATTTTCTCCATTGCTATATCCAGAGTCCAGACAGTGAGTTTTGTCAGTTATAATTAACAAATTCGCACCATATAGAGAATTTCAACTGTGACTATGATTCTCAGTAAGACCCTCAGATACCATTACGAACTTTAGGCTTTTTGGAGAAATCGTTTGTGCAGTGGCATGCTTGTGATATGTCGGAGAACTCACATTTCTACCTCCCCAGAATTAGATTTTTAAGGTCTGGGAACCTGAACAATATGACCACTCTTTTATACAGTTTTTCTTGTGTCATGTTCATCATCTTGCTCAACTATATTCCGTCTCAAGTGCTGCCCAATTTTCCAATGATTCATTTCATTTGCTTACGATCATGGTAGAGCTTTATCAACAAAATGTTCTTTTGCCTCCAGAAAACAAAATGGACGGACATTGTTAACAGGGCATCCCAACATGCCTATTATGGCACGGACTTAATGTCTAACTGCAAGAACTACTTCCAGATAACCTTCAGCTAGTTGTAATATCTTCCAATTCTCAATTTTTATTTTATGTTAGCTCAAATCCATTTTACACAAACCAGATCCAGATAGAATGGTAGCCAGATTTATTGGTTCATCAGCAAATGGGAATGTTCATTATGCCAGTAGTGAGATTAATATAGATGATAATAACCACCCTGAAATAATAATAAAGATCATAAATGATTTGTAAATGCCTTACCCGAAGTTTTAACCAGTTTAGCAATCCATTTTTCCTGGTCCTTTTCCCCTCCTTCAAGGTGTCATCTTCAGTGTCACCATTGCCATCTAGAGAAGCATGCAAGTCAATGTTTTGATCATCCAAGATCAAGTCTCGTCTTCTATAGGGGAGGTATGCAAGCTGCACATTCATCATAGGAACATACAATTTAATCATATAAAGAATAAAAAAAAAATTACATATGAAGTTCAGGCATTTTAGCGAAAAGAAAAAATGGATTATGTAGTCATAAAACCTCTTCTTCTCCAAAGGAATGCCTTCTTCTGGGAACCGGGCGATTAGGAAATCTAGATGATTGTGAAGTTTTTGTGGAGACCAATATTAACTTTGTCAGACGTTGTATTCTACTTAATAAAGCAGCTTTAGCTTCTTCTTCTTGTTCCAATCTTGATTGCAGTTTAACTTGACCATCTTCTAGCTTTACACATCATACAACAAAAAATGAATTATTCAAGGTTATACTTAGTACTCATTTCTATTTATGAACTTGATGTTGATAATATTTTGTAAACATGACACGAAGTAAGATGCAAGTCAAACACATTAAAATTGGAAAAAAGTTTGTCTCACAATCAAGGGCGCCACTCATCTAATCATTACATCTCCAAAAGGAAAAATGAATAAAAGAACAACATGATTACAAGGAATCCTCTTGCTGCTGAATATTGTTTCATTCCTCCACTTCAGCAAATTGTTTTGCTTCTATGTCAAGAGGGAAGAGAATGAAGGCATCCTACTCCACACTAAGACCACCACCTCTGTCAAGGAGGACCGATAGACTTCCTTCAAAATTCAAGGTGCCTTCAACTACCTTCAGTTCTGTTTTTGAGAGCAGGAAGCTAGTCACCTCAAGTTTGCATTTTACACATCATAGTTCACTAAATAGTACTTCTAAATGCTACCTAAAGCTCAACATAAAATATTTTGAAGTGGTATTGTCAAGACCCATATCAATCTAGTAAAGAGTTCGCTAGCTAAATTGATCAGAAAGACTCAGATGGACGGCATAGCAGATAAACAAACATTTCATTTGCAAACTCAATTGTCCTTCCAATATAGTAGCTCCCAGAGGACGATGGTTTCAAAAGTCGCCTTCATGTCAGAAGTCAAATGCAAAGACAGGACATTTATATAAGAGGAAAAGGTAAAGGAAAATATAGTCATCAAAGAACCAAGCTGTATTACTAAACAATCTCACTACCACTACATGTTAGCAAAAAGACGGAAAGAAAAAGGCCAGTAAGATCGAATGAATGGAGGCCAATAATCCCATGAGTCCCATCCATCCAAATAAATGATTGGCTTCAAGAACAAAATAAAGGGAAGGATGGTTGCAATGTCTTGGGGAGTTGAAATACAGCACAGTTGAAGCATTAAAGGAAAATGATGATATGATTTCCTTCTAAATTTCCCAAACAGATAGGAAAATCTATGACAGCAGAGGTACTAATGTTATACCAGAAGGATTTTTTTTTGATAAAAGAAGAATTTTAATAGAGAAGGAAAGTCATGAAACATAATACAATGTTGAGAACAATATACTAAATTTATAGTCCAGGAAACCACATTGACACCATCCTTCCACAGCAACAGTCTCCTTGATAAGAGATAGAATGGCTTGGCTAAGGAGATCAATCAATTTTGCAATACTGCTGAAATACTAATATTCATCAAGAACCAGATTAAGTAGATCTTTTAATGACTTCTGCATAATGAAGATGGAGAGAAGATTTGAGCTAAGCCACATGCATACTTCGTAGAAGGTAATGTGTCTATGTCAGACACGAACACGTCTTGAACACTCCCAGGTATGTGTCCGACACTCCTTCGACAACTTCAATCTAAAAGAAAAATAAAATACTAATTTTGATCACGTGCTTGACACTCTTTTTGGCCATGTGTCCATGAATCATTTGACTGTATCTATGACTGAAACAACAATTTCGCACACATGATCAACACTTCTTGGATATTTTATACCATGTGATGAATAAAGCTTAGACATTGAGACATTACTAACTTATAGCATGCAAAAAAGCACCAGCCTCATGGTGTGTCTGATTGTCGAGTTTGCCGTCTCCATGGCTTTCTCCATTTTGGGCTGCTCCTCAAGCTTTCGAGTGCCGATCTTCGCTTGGGTTAGCTCCGAGGCTCTACCCTGGCTTTTCTTGTTCGAGTGAGCCGGGTAAGCAAGTAGGTACGCTTATAGCTACTAATCAATCTTCTAATCTCTAAGCTAGCTAATTTGATATGCATCTTCTTCTTCTAGGCCAAGTAAGGCAATGCAGTTGCTGTTGTTGAGTTAGTCCCCCAGCCACTTTGTTTAATTCTCTATAAAATCTCTGTCCTTACTTAGCTCAATTATAGGTGCTTACAATACTGTCTATAAAACATGAAAGGTAATCAATAACTATTAATTTGCTCATTATGGAGGAAAGCACGTTTCATGACGTACAATTATATATATACATCAACATACTAGATAAGTTAATATATAGAAAATTTCCAGTGTATCTTCCCTTTGTTTTTATTGTACTTTTTAGGTTTGTGCTTCATAGAAGTTGAGAGTAAATCTTTGGCCTTTAAAGTTAGGCACTCAATTTTTTTCAAGCCATATTTATCGACACATGACCATTAGGTATACTTTACAGGGACACAGGCAGGTGGCCATTATACATAACTGAATCTAGACAGTGGATGCAGCGATAGCAAATAGAGTAGTAAAACAGTGACGAAACCAATTATGCGGTAAATTTCTTGACCAAAATGTACATGACTTTAGTACTTCTGCAAAATTTCCAGGAACATAAATTAAGCTTTCTTCCAGAGTAAATGTAAAGATCGCCATCTCATATTTCCATGACAGTCAACCAGGGCTGGCCCAACAGAAGGTTTAAAAAAGCCTGGGCTTTAGGCCCCATTTCAAAGGAAGGCCCTAATATTTTACATACTGTAAATAACCCATGTAAAAAAAAGCCTTATAAAAATATAAGCCCAATCAACTATTTTAGGCCCATAATTCAATCCAAACATTTTATATTATAAAAAAAATTAACAATATAAAAAATAAAAATAAAAATTGAAAGGTCATATCAAAGCCACCAAAAAAATTAAAAAGTCAAATCATATATATCTCTCTCTCTCTCTCTCGCGGTAAACCAACTAAACTAACAACACAAAAACAACTATTTTTCTTTATCTCTCTCATTAAACTGAAACAAAAAAAAAACTCTTCTTTTTCCCTCTCTCTCTCTCACAGTGCTCTCAACTCACAACTTAGTGAACGTTACTATACTATATATTGTGTTTTTTTGTATTTGTTTGGTTGCTATATAGTTATAATATATTAATAATATGACACCTAGAAGACAACCAAGTGGAAACGAAAAATTAAAAAAAAAAATAGATCAACTAATAGAATCTCAAAAAGGATCGTTTGATAAATTTGTTACTTAGTAACAAAAATAATGTAACAAAAAATTTAGATAAAAATTTTGAAAATGAACAAGTAGATAATAAAATAAAAGAGAATAAAATATAAAATATTGAAATAGAAAATATTGATAATAAAATAGAAGATAATGAAATAAAAAATATTGAAGTAGAAAATATTGAAATAAAAGATAATAAAATAGAGGATAATGACATAGAAAATATTGAAAAAGAAAATAGTAAAATAAAAGATAATGAAATAGAAGACAATCAAAATCTTAATGAAACAAGTGATTATAGTCATATAAATGTTTATGATCCAAGTCAATGGAAAAATATTAATACAAAATTAAGAGATTTATTAATAGAAAATGGTCTAATTAGATATAATAATTTAGATTTTTCTCGAGATGAACACTCTAGACATTTTTTCACTGCACATTATATTCACAAATTAACAAATGGGAAAACACTTGATAGAAGATGGCTAGTATATTCAAAAGATTTGGATAAAGTATTTTGTTTTTGTTGCAAGTTATTCAATATGAATTATTCTACAAGTAAACTAGCTAATGAAGGAACAAAAGATTGGAGAAATTTTGGTGTTTAGCTTAAAAATCATGAAATAACTAATGAGTATATAACTAATATGAATACTTGGATTGAATTAGAAACAAGATTGCAACTAAATAAAACAAGTGATAAAAGTATCCAAGAACAAATTAATAGAGAGAAAGAATATTGACAAAATGTATTAGTAAGAATTATTGCCGTTGTAAAGAATCTTGGTAAAAATAATTTAGCTTTTCGGGGGAAAAAATGAAAAAATATATCAAGAAAATAATGACAATTTTTTAAGTTTAATTGAAATGATTGCGAAATTTGATCTGATAATGCAAGAACACGTTCGTCGTATTTAACAAGATAGAATTCACAACCATTATCTTGGACATAATATACAAAATGAATTGATAAGTTTGTTAGGAAATGAAACAAGAAGCAATATTAATAAAAAAGTTAAAGAAGTAAAATATTATTCAATTATACTTAATTGTACTCCCGATACAAGTCATCAAGAACAAATGTCTCTCATATTACGATACGTAGATATTACAATAAGTCCAATAAAAATAGAAGAATATTTTTTAGAGTTTATTAAAGTAGATAATACGAGTGAAAAAAGTTTATTTGATAAACTTATAGATATAATAAGTAATCATAAACTAGATATTAATGATGTACGAGGACAAGGATATGATAATGGATCTAATATGAAAGGAAAATATCAAGGTGTACAAAAAAGGCTATTCAATATAAATTCTAGAGCATTTTACACACCATGTGGTTGTCATAATTTAAATCTAATACTTTGTGATATAACTAACTCTTGTCCCAAGGCTATATCATTTTTTAAAATAGTACAACATATATATTTATTATTTTCCTCTTTCACATAACGATGAAAAATTTTACAAGATAATATTCAAAGTTTAACTCTTAAGTCATTATCACAAACATGTTGGAAAAGTCGTATTGAAAGTGTTAAAGCAATAAAATTTCAAGATCCAAGAATAAGAGGTGCATTATTGCAATTAGTGGAAATTAGTGAAGATCCTAAAACAAGGAGTGAAGCTAATTGTTTAGCAACATATAATATTAAAACTTTTGAATTTTTATTAAGCATGACTATTTGGTATGATATTTTATTTTCCGTCAACTTACTTAGCAAATATTTACAAGCAAAAAACATGCATATTGATATTGCTATAAATCAATTAAAATGGTCTCATTTCTTTTTTGAAAAATATTGGGAAAGTGGATTTACAAATGCTATGATTTCATCTAAAGAGATTACATGTGAAATGGGTATAGAACCTATATTTCGTGAAAAAACGTAAAGTTCGTAGAAAAAAATAATTTGATGAAAATGTTGATGATGAGTTAACACAATCTATTGAAGAATCTTTTAGAATTGATTATTTTACATACATAATTGATCAAACTATTTCTTCACTAAAAAATAAATTTGAACAATTACAAAAGTACGAAAATATTTTTGGTTTTTTATTTAACTTAGAAAAAATAAAATTATTGACCAATGATAATTTAAAATATTATTTTTTGGATCTCGAATGTTTCTTAAAACACAAAAATTTTTCCAATATTGATGGCTTAGATTTATTTTTAGAACTAAATGTTTTAGAAAAAATTTTACAAACGAAAGAAAGTACTCCAATTAAAATACTAAATTATATAAAAAAGTTAGATTCTTTTCCAAATGCATGCATTGCTTATAGAATATTATTAACAATTCCTATAACAGTTGTTTATGCGGAAAGAAGCTTTTCGAAATTAAAATTGATAAAATCTTACTTAAGATCGACTATATCACAAGAAAGATTAATTGGATTAGCAATAATATCAATTGAAAAAGATATGGTGGCAAAACTTGAATATAAAACCTTAATTAATACTTTTGCAACTTAAAAAATAAGAAAAATTAATTTTAAATAAAAAATATTAACACTAAACATAGAAGACCTCATTTAGAAGTATCGCTTTAGGCCTCAAATTGTCTTGAACCACCCCTACAGTTAACCAAGCTTGAAATTGGAACACAGCAGACCCGATCGTCACTACTGTTGAGCAACGTTGGCCCTACCTTTTAGTCTGAGTAGGGAAGGACAACTTCATTGCAAGATGTGTCTCTAGGATGCCACATACAGCATTGAAAGAAATGAAGAAAGTATGTGTAAATCATCGCCCTGTTAATCTAATAGCTAACCAGTTAGGGTAAGAGGGCATTTTAAGATACTTTTAGGGTTCTACATGGCTTTTTCACTGGTGGCAGAAAAGTTGAAGGCACTTTTTGTTGTCCAGAGGCCCTCCAATCAGAGGAGAATGCAATAGTTTTCAATTGCATGCGAACTTTTTTTTTTTTCCCCTGGACTGCAATTGCTGTAAATATGTGGTTCGCACAATTGCATACATCTAGCTGATTATCTATGAAGTATGGACACTTTCAAGAAGGTGATGTATCCAATATCCGTGTCAGACACATGTTGGATACTGACACTCCTCGGACATGTGTTCGATACTCTTTTATTTGTGTTCATAATTAAGTGATAATTTTAATTTTGAATACGTGTCTAATACTTCTTTGGTGACATGTCTGACACTTCTTTAGACCGTGTCTACTACTAAATAATAAGCATGTATTGACATGTGATTAACATAGCATAAAATTTTGACTAATAAATACCTTATACTATGAGAGAACATACAATTACCAACACTAGGCATGTTAAAGTTGTACTTAAAATATAATAACAAAAGTAAAAGATACATAAAAGATTTAAAAAAAAGCAATTGAGAAAATGAGGGCAATCATTTAAATTATATATGTTTGATACACGTTTACAAAATAATTGATGATTATTGCCTACTATGATGGTAGTCCAAAAATTCACTAGACATAACATTTACTTATCATAAAGTATTGAATTTTTTATGAGTAATATATCATTATCACTATATTTTTGACAAATTATATAATTTTTTATATAAAACACAATTATCTATAGCATGTCACCAACGCGTCTGCGTCCAACCTTTTTTTAGAAATGTCGTGTCTGCATGTCTGTGTCCATGTCATATACGTGTCTGTGTTAGCTTCTTATACTACAATATGCTTTTTGTTCTAGCACATGCAGAATAGATACATGGAATTTCTTCATAACACTACTAAAAAACTTTTCTGAGACTATCATTTTCAAATAATACTTTTGTGTGCATGATTTTAGGAAGCAGTAAACTTTTCACATTAGGCAGAAGATACAGCACAACCAAATATTCAGTTAGGAATTCTCACCACAAAACACATTTATAGATGGGTATTTTCAACTCACAATAAAACATAGGAGCCTGAGAAAGGGCCACACATCAAATTCACTACCTTTTGCTTTAGGAGATAGATATCATCTTCACCGGTATCTTTCAGCTGTGGAACTGTAACAATACCTCTCTTTAGTTGCCCTAACTCCTCCTTTAAGCAGCGAATCTCATTTTGGTATTTCTTGATAAGTGATTTCTCATCAATTATCTGCAGGTTCACCAGCTTACTATCAGCTACATCACCAAATAATATCCCAAATTAAGGATAGCTCACACAAACATACCTTGTTTTGTGCTGCTTGAATTTCAATATGTTTTGCACGGTGGGCAAACTTCAATGTGTTATGTGTCTCTTCAGAATTGCTTGACGAGGGGGTAACGGTGCAAATTACCTGCAATGTGAAGAAACAGCGAAAAATAAGTACACTGAATCCCACATTCGTGTGTCATTTTTTTGGAAGATTAGGATTTTCAAGTGGACATTAAATATTCCTACCACCCACCAATACACATCGTGCTTGAGTGGAATCACAAAATAAAAAATAAAAAAACACAATATGGATTTGTGTAAATATCCAGAAGAGGCTTACAGATACACGTCCATGACCACTTAAAGAAGACTGAAGAAGCCTAGTCAGCTTAGAGTCCCTGTAAGGTACATGAGTAGCATTCCCATCTGTTAACTTTGATATAACCTGTGACAAGAAAAAGATTGTGGTATGGGGTGAGAAAAGAAGATATGGTAGCAGAAGTTAGTCTGATGTACATAGATAGGAGAGACCACCCTCTCCATATAAGGATTGCTAGAGCTACTGTTGAGATACTAAGGGAGGTGACATTGTATATAATGAGATTTATATCAGAAAGAGACTGGAATGGTGCTCAAACTTAATTCACAGGAATATGCCCAGCAAATTTAATATTCCTTCAAGTATCAAATCAGTCCACCAATTTAAAATACCATAATGCTAGTCTATGCAAAATTCCCCACCAAATTTCTCCAGCCAAATAATGTGGCACATCCACTTCTTATTTGACGGTGGTGGATGTGCCATGTTATTTAGTGTGGGAGTTTGGTAAGAGTAGCATCTCTTTCAAATTTCAAGCATAACAATTAAGGCCACTAGTTGCAAAACTAAAAGAACTGTGAAAGAAATGTGATCTCAGCTAAATAACAAGTGGGCTTCTGTTTACTTGTTAAATAATTCTACCACATAAAAATAAAACTTCAAATTCTATCTTATTTGTTGGGATTACTCCATTGATAGAGCACAATGCAGAAACATGATTCATACAGCTGATCCCAAATACTTGGAATTCCGACTTTGTGGAGTTGAATTATCTTGTGAAATTACTCAAACAATAAGTATGCCAAATTTGGCCTATGTTGGAAACTGGTTGGCTAAATCAGTATAAAAAAGTAAATTTCGAGAAATGACATCTACTTAACGAGTAAAAGACATCTCAAGACACAATATCTAAGAATCTTAAATTTAAACCATTTATGGACCAAGTCCTCTCTTTTGGACATTAGGGAAATTAAAACCATGTTTATCAACAATCAAGTTATTTGATACAAGACGACATCTGAATTCAAACAATTCAACTCCTTTCAATTCAAATGACACTCACAAAATTAATGCCTTCTAATATATAATTTGTTTGTCTCAGTATAATTCAAGATTTCTAAGAGATCTAGTAACATCTATCTTGTAGGAATAAAACTGTTGAAGGACAAAGAAACATGGTAGCATACCCGGAATCTTGCCAAACTAAAATCGCTGTGCTTAGCTACTGATAAATAGAAGCTTGACTAGCAACACAAAAAAAATCCGAATAACAGATCTGGGGCTTCATTTTTCTTTTGATCTTTTGGGCAAGAAAATTCGCATTCATTAGCAATCAACAGATATGCCCAGGCTGTGATGCTGATGCCATTGCGTTAGTTTAGTCCTTTATTTATTTTACGTTACCCTATTAAATAAGGGCCTCTATTGTGTATCTTTGGAAAGGTTGGGATGCTAATTAGTGAGCCCAAATAATATTCTCCTCTCCTTTCTTTTATATTCTCTTCTCTTTGATTATGTAATCAGATTTTCAGTATTTAGCAACACGAAAAAATAAGACAAATATGGGGCTTCTTTTCTTCAATGCTCAAGTAACAATTGCTATCCACCCAGTGCATTTTCTTTCTAGTGAGAAAATTTAAAGAATGCAAGTATAACACAACCAGTATATGAGAAAAGGGCACCAAATGTTTGTCTATTCTGTATAATTACAGCAAACTTGAGGATTAAATCATGAAAACTAGGTATCATGAAAATAGCACTTGCTTTTTGCATCTTCTCTAACTGAAAAATGTTATAGTATAAAAAAAGAATAAAAAGAATTGTTTGAGACAGACTAAATTATTTTGGTGCTAGTCAGAAATAACTTGATAACAAAAGAAAAGCATCAGTTGAGCAAAACCATAACACAATAACAGTGATTGAGGCCTTACAGTTCCAAGGGTTAGCAGGCTTTTATTGATATATGATCCTTCTTTTCGCCGCACACCAGTAGTTTCAGCCTTAGAACTCTCAGACCCTGCCAAGTCGATGAGATTCTGCATGCATAAATGAAATACATAAAAATTAGAATAGGCCAACTACCTTTCATTACTTGTGAGAGAAAGAAAAGCATGCAACACAAGTCCATCAAAAATCATCAATCATAGCAAACAATATAGCATAAAAGATGTCAAAATAAACCGCCATAGCAGATCTCAATTAAAAGACCAACAAATGTTGAAGAAGCAGAATATGTATACCAGCTGCGACAAGGTAACAGCCTCGCCTTCACAATTTTCACCACAGGGGCTGCTCTCAATTGTCTAGTAGTATAGTGAAGATTAGTAAGAAACAGCACCATCACTCCCAAAAAAAAGGAGAGAAAAAAAAGAAGAAAAATAGGCATGCAAACAAGTTGAGGATTATTGACAGATGCAAGTTTTATCAATATAAAGTAATAGTACCAGTGTGAATATTGTATGACTTCTACTGCTGAGTAAATTGAAATTTGTGGATCCAACATGTCTGTGCTCTGTTGTCAGCAACTAAAATCTTATCAGATAGTTTGAAGGGGAAAAAAAAAGATCAACAAAATGGCAATGTAAGAAACATCGAGTATAAATGTATAATCACACCCATTCTCATTAAGAATACAAGTAATCTCAAACATATTTAACCTGTTACACAACACAATTGAAAGTTTAGAATTTTATGTAGTCAAATTTTGAAAAGAAAACATAATTTCAGTAGTTTTAAAAAGTGTTCAAAATGAATTGTCAAAATTTCCACAGGCATTCATAAAAAGAAGTGAAACTAGTGGCTGAATGGTCTTCAAATAACTATTTCGCAACAAATCAACTGGATACAAGTTCAAAAGATTATTTTCCTTCCTGAGGGAAAAAAAACGTGTTGTGATCTTTTATTTCTAGTAGAATACTTCACACTTAGTTCAGGCCAAGACGAATATGTAGCAGAAATGAAGGTAGATTAAAGAGGGATGTATCAAGAAAATCAGTTACTGCATAAACTGAATTCAAATTACTGCCTAAACTGAATTCAAATGAGTTCAAGGTCAAGTTAAGGGAGATTATAGATGAGACAAGAAGCAAATGATGGTCCATCAGGGTCAAGTTTGTTTGAACTTTAGAAACCGTACCTTTCCAAATCACAGATAAATATCTATGCACAAAATCATATTATTTTTTATACTGTGTTGACTGTTTAAAATTTTAGGTTTTCGTTATTTTCCCATTTGGATGGTTACGTGTTGAGAAGAAAACTTGGAGCTGCAGAAAGGACAAATTTAGGAGCAGCTGCTTTTGAGAATACTACATAATATCATCCCAATTCAGATATTTTCATTTCATAATTTCAAATCTGGCAATTCCATCTAAATAGCACTTGTTAGTAAAGCTACAAAAACTAACACCCGACAAGCGAAGTTAATAACAAAGGACTAATATGCTCAACCAGGTCAAGAAACTTTATAGGCTTTTCATGTGGATCAAGTTAAAGGTGATACAGAAAAAGGGGAAGATCGAGGATGTATCAACAGCCTAGAAAGACAAGGTAAGAATCTGACAGCATTGAGGAAGAACTGTGCACCCAATGATTTTTTTTTTCCCTACTGAACTGATTTGTTTTAGCGAAGAGTCTGCCTCTTTGCTGGCCAACTGGAAAGCAGTTGAATTTTCTCCTAAACAAATCATATTAACTGCAGGCTTTTCTTGCAAAATGATAAAATCACTAGTACCAGTAACCCACCGACTCCAAAACCAATGTTCAGCATGCTCGCAATGCAACAATTGCAAAACAGATGCCTCTTTAATGCTTGTACATCCATGAATTGACATAGATGAAAACTAAATGTTAAAGCAGAATATTACCTTCTCCAGCTGCAATGAGGGAAAGGGCATGAGCTGGGGATAATACAACTTCCTCCTTGATTCCTTCAACAAAGGCTCCCTACAACAATGAAGGTGAAAAAAGAAAAATTGCACATCTAGGAAACTGAAGTAATACAACCAGCCATATCAAGCTCGCCATAATTCTGCAATGATTGGAAACTTAACACAATGTTTCAAGAGAAAAATGCTCAAACTAGATGCTAGAAATCATCAAATCAAGATAATTTTAGTGCTTTGGATGGGGTACATGGAAGCTGGTTAATGCCGGTCCCGTTCCTGCCTCGTCAGACAGAATGCTGATACAGCATTAAAACTTCACAAAATGGAGAGGTGAAACCATAAATAATATCTTGGAAAAATTATAATGCTGGATTAGGTAACTGTTTCCCAATATAGAAACCAACTCGCTCTATAATTACTGCCCAACTGAAGTCAAACCGTAAGTATAAGTTACAATCTCGCGAGAGTATATCGTATATGTGAAATCAATCTTGAGATCAGCTAATGAAGATGTTGAGGATCTCAGCAACAGGGGCATTTTTAAAATGCATACAACCTTATAGAGGCATTTCATCCTCAATGAGTATTTTGTGGTCTGGTGTGCCCCCCCCCTTTTTTTTTGTTTGGGGGGGGGGGCATGTTAGCTGTGGACCTGTGGTCATAAAATGTGTGATTTCTTTCAATAAAGGAAGCTTCTCCCTTTTTTGTAGTGTGTTTCCCTTTCTTTTGTTATAAGTTTCTGTCCTCTTTGTATGGAAAAATATGTGATAGAGGGTACTGAAGTAAATAACACCAAGTGGGATTGAAGAAGTGTAATATCTCCGAGTCTGATGAAGAAAAAAGGTGCAAAAAATAAAGCGGAGCACATGGGAAGAACATTGCCAAACACACCAAGCTCTCACGGTATGTGAGTGGAAGCATTATATAAAATCACTGGCGAAGATCAGAAATCAATAAGCAAGCACCTGCGCATCCTCTCTAATTCTTAAATTCTGTCCTGCCGGATTCAACAAGTCATTAACAACCTGAAATCAACGAAACCATAATGTCACAGAAACAGGAAACACCTTATTTTGAACAGCCCATTCAGTAATTTAAAATCATCGGACTGCTTTACAAGCAACAACAATTGATGAGAAGCAAATCTAGTAATACAAATACACCTAGATAACTCGGGTGTTACAAAAAGGAATTGAATAATAACACTAATAATATGTTTCAATCATAATTTGAGAATCAGTAATCCCAACAAATAATTGATTTCAATAGGCCACTAAGCTCAGGTTCGTAGAACTTCTAAGGAACCCTAAAAAAAGCTGGTAAAAAATGAAAATGTATAGATGCATATCAGATAATAAGTATATCAATCCTGCTACAAACACAACAAATAACATGAGAACTCTATCTTTATCTGTGTATCTCTGTTTCATTTTTTGCTTTGGTTTATACCGGATCCAGATAGCAATTCCCAACAGAGAGTGAAGTGGATGATAGGGCTCAGAATGAAATAAACAGCTCATTTATAACATTAAAAACTTAATCGTCCATATTGTCAAAACATATATCTAGAAATTGTCATCTATCAATTATAACATGAACAGAAGTCCAAAATCAGTTGATCAAGCAACTCAATAAATAAGGCCCAATATTAGTACTCAAGGAAGCTGAAAACTTGCGCATCATTATAAACTTCAGCACAAAAAAAAAAAGAAGAATCACCAAGTAAATGTCAGGACAGAATGGCCAGAATCTCACCTCATTATAGATTTCCAAATATGAGACCCTGAGCAGAAATTCTCGACTTGGAGTCTAAGGCATTGAAAAGAATCACATAAAGCTTTTATTTCTAAAAGAATAGCAAAACTTAATAGAGGTGCAGTGCAAGCTGAGTTGTACAACGTACCTCTTGAATAATACTGAAAGCATCCTTCACAGCCAACGGTATAATACCAGGGGATCTCTGATCACCCTGCCAAGCGTACAACCAATGCACGCATAGTAACAACCAATGCACGCTAGAAGAACATGATAGAAACAGAAAAAGTTTTTGAGATACTTGGCCCTCTAAATTAATTTTGGACCTCAGTCTGAGTTCTAGCTGGTTACAAAGATAATAAATATGGTTGTTGCAAATGGCAATCTCTGCCAATATTAATTTCCAATTGATTCTGTACACACAAGATAAAGGCCTATAGGTTCAATGCCTCTTGCAAAACTATGCTTTGGTATGTATATCCTTAGTATTTTTGCAATTTAGGAATAGACATGTAAACTGATTGGAGAACTTCCCAAATCTGCTTTGTGTATACAATATCAGTGAGCGACTAATAATCCACTTGTTACAGTCCTAATGACAATGTACGCAGGAGATACGAGACGCCCAGATTTTATTTCAGTTCTATTGTCAGTGATTTCATTTCAATTCATCAATTCAGTTTCACATTTAACAACGACAATCATCTTTGTTTTTTCCTTTCAATAACTGGGCCTCGTATGTTATTTGGAGTAGATAAGCATTTTCTACCTGCCTGCATACTGTAGTTATACCAATTCTCTTTTAATGTAATCGTCTAGGACACCAAGGTACAGAAAAGAAATTTCCTTACATGCATGGTGTGAGTCTTTCCACTGCTTGTAACTCCATATGCAAAGATTGTTCCTGCAATTGAAAGAAAGCAGCAATTAAACTTGTTGGGAGAATAGGGAGCCCATTAATCTAAGATCCAATACACATGTCTAGAATCCATACCCACCCACCTAAATTCAAAAAGCTTAAGCTTTTAAGTGGTGAGCGCATCAACAATATATTAGGACACTTTAACTTATTTTTCTATCCAATGTGGGATTCCCCACACGTCATACTCAACAATTTTACGAGCCACCAGTCTTTAGAACTGTCCGCTCTTCCAAGAACCAAGCTTTTTACCGCTTTTTATGAGCCACCGAATTACCGCTCTCTAAGAGTTTAGCGTCCAAGCCGCACCTTGCTCTTTTTCCGGAGTTGCGTTTCCATGACTTCAATACCAAGAAACCATCACTTTTCTCAAGAGTCACCATTGGTCCTGGCACGCTACATCATTTTTTTCGAGAGTTCACCCAGGATTATCGGTCGTCGATTCTGATTCCATTTGTTGGAAGAATAGGAAGCCCATTGATCTAAGATCCAATATACATGTCTGGAACTCATAATCACATAAAAGCTTAAGCCTATAAGTGGTGAGTCTATTCGTTGTATATTAGTACACTTTAACTTATTTTTCTATCTGAGGTGGGATTCCCCACACATCTAATAACCAACGAAACTAACTGAAACTAATGGCCCCATCAAGTCTACCAAGAAAATCGTATGAAAAACAAAAGAGAAGAAAAAAGAAGTGACCAAAATCAGCGAAAGAATTGACACATAAGTTTTACATAATGACTTGCTATCAATTGGGTGAGTTCTAGTTATGGTGTTAATGCAACTAGTGGTAACCTTCAGCCCTTAGTAGTTAGTCAATACCAAAGTACAGAGGTTGAACACATGCCCTTAAGCCACCAAAAAGGGTCTTGAATGCACCTCAAAAGTAAATGGGCCTTTTTGAGGAGCTATCCTAGCCCACGGTAAAAATAATTGAATGATTACATCTCAAAATTGGAACTTATCACAGACTCCAAACTGTCTGATAAATTAAAAATTAAACTGACCAGAGTATCCATTCTCTTGATTTTTTGGTCACCTAGATATATGAAATTGCACCATTAACACTTTGTCTACTACTGATCGATTCTAGAAGCGCTCAATACAAGATACAACATATGACTGTAAATAGATGTAATCAACGCAAATAAGGATTTGTTATCATTGCAATTGTAAGACAGCATAACTAGAATTGAAATACATTATAATATCTCCTTGACGACTTTTGACATGTATCAATAACTTGCAGCGGTGGAGGGAGGGTAGGGGCACTGGGGGCAGTTGTTCCCACTATATTTCCAAAAAATTTTGGGGTCCAATTAAAAATTCAAGAAATGTACAAGTTTTATAAATTTGTCCCCATTGAAATATTTGAAAAAAAATGTAGAGTTATTTCCATATTTAAAAATTAAATGTGATTCTTTCATGCATTAGAATTTTAATTTTGTCAATAGATCAAATTTTGACGTAAATTCGTCCGATTCTAAATACGATTAGTAAGAATAATTTATAAATTACAAATTGATATATTTGTATGTACAGGTATATCATATATGATGAGATTGTGTGTATTTGGTGAAACTTAATTCAAATTAAGATTTAATTTATTAAAATCTAATTTTAGTTGACTCAAATAGTCGATCAATTTTTAATATTTAACGTATTCTGATATGTACTCAAAAAATAATATACATCAAATAATCAAAACGAATTCAAAAATGAGTTTTTAAATCAATTTCGGATTAGAGTTTTTCAGAGTGAATTCATATCACACTAAATCTAATCATTGAAGGCCTACTCACTATTTGTTCGCAAAACGTAACTAGTTTTGATGATTTTCGTTCGATTGTTCTCTTCGATCTGACGGTTGCCCCCACAACCGACAAAATCAGGCTTCCCCCCTATAACTTGTGTAAAGAAGTGAACTCAATGATGTGAAAATAATACTTGTGGAGGTTTTAGCCCAAACATCAAGGCATCAGAAGTCCTAACTCCACACAATACTATAGGTACTTGCTAATACTTTTTAAGCAGCGAATTAGCCAATTGCTTTATTTTTCCATTAAAAAGCGCGCAATGTTAATGTTGCACCAAATAACGTAGTGATGATTCAAAATCACAATCAACACAACCACCACTTTTAGAGAAAAAGGAACCATGAAGATATTTGATTTCAGGAAAAGAGAGCTGCCAATACATTTTTCAAGTGGAAACGAAACCTATTAAGTTTTATTTTTCACTCACTTCAGCCAACCCAATTAGATTTGGATATTTACAACAGTTGAGCAAAGAAAACATAAAATGGAGGTGAATTTTATGCGCACCTGAGATATAATGGAGCAAATGAAAGTAACCCTACCAAAAACTTCAAACCCCTTGTAAAAGATACAAGATGCTAATGAAAAGGCAATTATCCCTGATAAGCAAAATATATTAGGAATCCAGCAGAGACTACTTGCACATATATAATTGCATATGCATCTTCAAACATTCATTTATTGTGTTCTTTCCACAGAAAAGGTGCAGTCTTCATCACCTGCCTGCACCTTCTATACACATTTCCTCCTTGACATATATTGATTGCCTCCAGGACCAATATATGAATCACCCCCTGAAGTTGAAAAACAAAAAGTAGCAACCCCAGAGTTCACCAGCAATACAACAGTGATGTTATCGTACATAAATCACTAACTTATGAGCATTCTTCACCTTTCACTAGGTCCAACACTCCAAAAAATTTGGGGAAATAAAAATGATAAGAATTTTGGACTACGTTTTTGCACAATATGTGACTTTCATAGGAAAAACATGGCAGCCACTATCTCACAGCTTGCAAAATGTTCTTATCTAAAAATTTTCATTTCAACATAACACATCTATTCCCTCCTGCCACTGGCTAAAGTACTGACAATAGCTCAATTAACTCATCCAACAAACTCCATCGATTCCGCATGATGTAAATATTCATCACCTTTTTTTGTCTGGGAATATCATCCATTCAAGTAGAAGTTTCCCAAAAGTTCATCAAGTATTCAATCTCATATACAATCTAGATCCTAACATTGTACAGTAAAACTTTGTTCACCACATTAACTTCTCATTCTAGATAAACAGAATTTTTAGTCTAACCAACTTCCAATTGCTGTTACCATACAGAAACTCTTAGACAAAACCATAGAAAATCATTTCATCTAATGCATTTTGTCTACAATTAACAAGAAATCTGCTCTCCAAAGCTTGCTCCTTAATCATAAAATTGAAATCTTAAGCTAGTATACTCGGATAAAAAAAATCTTGTATTAGTGCATACAGTCGCAGCCAAAAAAACACTGGTTACTTTGTCATTACAAATAGCCAAACCATTTCTTGAAGGATCCTTGCTCATGCTAATTCCTCATTCACGTTCGTCCAGTACATAATAAACTAAGCCCCAACTTGGGATAGACCTTATTTTTTAAGAAAAGATGAGATTGAAGTGACATGACTGGGATTATTCTAAACTTCAATTCATTTTAGCGCTTTAATTTTTTATGCCGGAAAGATATGTTGCCTTCAGCTATATACCGAAAGATTATCAAAGGGTCCAATTTAGATACATGCCGAGGGAAAAATTACATGACAAAAGTTTTACATTAGCGACAATGAATTCTCAAGGAAGAAAATCGGTTGGATAACATTTATGCAAGCCATAAACAGTGTACAACAGAAGTTCACAATACCAGAGGATAATAGAGTTTACCATTGATGCCTCCCATGGCACCACTGACGACATGTTGAGCAGCAATATCATAGACACGAAGTGTTGTTGTTGTAGAGCCAAATACCTGATCTAGAAGAAATTAAGCATATGTAGAAATAAGACAAGGGAAAGAAAGCAAACAAACAATTGATTGTGATGTAGAATACTAAGCATGGGATTAGCATGCACTAGTTATTTCAAGTATGTGATGAACAACCAAAGTAAACATAAAACATTCAACTCATTAGGCATAAGGTACTCAACAAATGTTAAGGGTTCTCAAACCATGTCAGCAAATTCGTTCTGGACCCCGGGATGTGGAACAAAGTATGTGTATTTGGTAACATCACCACATCTCGTTCATCTTGGCCCTAAAGCTCAAACGTCTTTGCCTATTGGATTTGGGTCGCCATAACCCACCACCTTAAGATCATACATACACGTGTGGAACCTGTCCCATATTCTCAGTTGTTGTTAGCTTTGAAACAGTTTAAAATGTCCCGGACCTCTCACTGTAGAATTTTTTCCTGATTTGAGCTAGGCTCGCATTGCTTTAAATACATTTTATAATAAAGACTTACACTTATAAAGTACTTGGCACACACTTCTTCAAGTGATGTGGAGCAAAACATATAGACTTGGTAGCATAACCTCAGATCATCCATCTTGAACCCAAGCCTCAAAAGTTTCAGCCCTTGGGTGTGGGTCACCATATTCCTAGCACTCTTCCCATCTTCCCTTAGTTTGCTATAAACTCTCTTTATTACCTACACACTTCTCTCATATATTACGAAGTGTTTGGCATGTGCCTAATTGTGGTTTTCATTAAGCTTAAATTAATGTTTGGTTGCGTGAAAAATCATTTCTGCAAAGCATAAGTGGTTGGGAAATGGATAATTTTTGGCTTTGTAAAATTCTAATCGTTCAGTGATGTGTGTGTTAATGAATGGTTATCTTGATTGCATTCTCATGTACTTCCCCAATTTTTTCCAAGAAGCTTTCAGTAGCTAGAACTGCTTTAGAAAGAGTATTGGTTCTACAAATCTCAGTTACAACCATCATCTGTCCCGGGCACTTACATAGCTACAAATTGGTTTTGCCACTGTCTGCAATGAAATGATCAGAATCCAATGATATATCAAGTAATTCTAACTTGCTATATGATTATTGTATATATGCTATTCCAGCACTAAAAAGTATGCCACACTACACATTTCTCTGTCAGTCTTCTATTTCTGATTTTATTTATGTCTGGCACAAAATATAGACAAGGCAGCTAAACAACTTGAATTTCAAGAAAACCATCATTTTTCAAAAATCTGCTTTAAACCTCAAAAAAAGTCAATATTTCACTATCAATTTCTGTGCACTGTTCAATCTCATCAAATAACACCAATATAGCATTATAATGTACCATATGCATATGCAATCGATGGATTATGCTCGTTCCGCACAATAGACTCTCCGTCCGCGTACCATGCAACCTCCTCTCCTAGTCGAATTTCCCTCGGACTGTTCCAATCATAAACCACAACAAAATTAACCCGGAAGACTCGAAACTACACTAATGCCGAATCAAACACAAATCAGAAAATTCTCAAAGCACCTGAGAGGCCGAAACCGGACTGTAACAGTCACATTCTCTTTGGATCTCTCTGCATCCAAAGGCAAACTCTCCGAGTAAAAGTACTGCGGCTTGCCTCTCACAGGCGACGATCCTGGCGAGCTCAGACCGTCGAACGAAGTATCCGGCAACTGCTTTGACGATGACGTCGTTGATGATGACGGAGATTTTAACGCTCTAGAGCTTGCCTTCTTTGATTTTGATCCCTGTCTCGACTCCATTGCTGCTTTTTAGAATTCAACCAAAAGGACTTCAATACAATCGAAAACAATAAAGAACAACAGAGAAAATTCACAATGTACTAATCATTGAAGTTTCCGAATTGCTTCATAAATTAAAATCGACAAATTGTACATGCCATACGATGAGATTTGAAAAATCACCTTCAATGAAAGAGCTGAGCGGTAAATAAGCCACAAATGTGAATACGTATGTTGATGTAGAGAGATATAGGGAGATCTTTCTAGGAGAGAGATCTGCCAACGAGGAAGAACATGAGCGGTATCATCATGATCAGTGTGTGAGTGTGAGTGTGAGAGAGAGAAAAAGAAGAGGATTAGGCTATTAGCATAAGGTTTTTAGGTGAGGTTTCGTTTTGCTTGCCTTGGAAGCGAGATGCCCTTGGTTGAAAGTCAATCCGCATTTTCAATCCAGTCTGGAGTATGGCTTTTTAGAGAGAGAAAGTGGTGCCAGAGAGAGTGGACATGAAACGGTCAGTGAAGAGACAGAAAGAGAGAGAGTTGACTGCTCTGAGAGTTAATGACTGAAGAGCTGGCGCGCAGTGGCAACTAACGTAGCCAGCGTCACAAGAGTAGGCGTGCCAATAGTGATAAACAAACAAGATAAATATCAGAATTACTTCTCAAATTTATTTTTCATTTTATAATAATTTTAAAATTTTAATTATTTTAACTTAATTTTTTAATACTAATCAATAATATATAAACGAATAAAAAAATAAACACACACAAATTAATAACTATCACCTTATGTAAGTCAGTAATTATCACTCTTTTTTCATATATGCCAATAACTATTCAAACGAGATTCACCGTGCATATTTAATATTTTATTATTAATTAGTGATACCATGTGATATCTGACAAACAAAAAATCACATTACAATACTGACATATATCACTATTGCATTGAATATTTAATCATGTCACTTTGCTTTTTTTTTTGTTTAACACTTTTGAGTCCTCTTAAGTTTTATATGAATAGAGTATCAGCGATTGGTTTAATGATTATCGTAATTTTCATTAGACTATTAGGTTGCAGGTGTGAACCTCATCGTTAGGGGTACAACTTGAGTGAGTCAATTCGAATTCAATCTGAGCCCAACCCAAAAAAAAAAAAAAAGTTTGGGTTAAAATTTTTAATACTTGGGTTGGGTGTAGGTAAAAAAATTCTAATCCGAATTGAATTTAGGCAAGCTTCAAGTTGAGGTATCTTGTTGTTGGGTTCAACCCGAATATTAAAATCAGGTTAAACCCAAATATACATAAATATATAAATATATTTAACTAGAGTTAGTATTTATCTTCACTCTTTAAAATAAAGACTTTCACTTCACTTCGAGTCTTCACCCCTACGCCTCCATCACTCTCAGATCTCTTTCTCATTCATCACTTCTTCCTCTCCCAATCGTCACTGGTCTCAAACTCTCAACCTCCATTTCCCTCTCTCACTCGTCACTCCTCCTTCTCTTACTCACTCTCTCTTCATCTGAGCCTCGCCCTTTATCTTAAATCATTTGAAAAAATTAGTTCTACACTTATAAAATCAAATCTACACTTCAAAAAATCGGTCTAAATTAAGTAATTCAAGCCCAATCCGATTTTTAATTTGAATTCAATATGAATTAAGTAACCTACATTCAATCCGAGTCCGCCTGAATTAAATTTGGATAGTACTCGGGTTGAGTACCTCAGGTTAAGGCAGAGTTAAGGTTAGAGTCGAAGATTATATACCTAGAATTGAGTCAAGGTTGACCTCTGAACCTGTCCAACTCACCCGAGTTGCACCACTACTCATCGTCTCTCCTTTGTAACAGTACAAAATAATGACTCAAAAAACAAAAAAAAAAAGTCTTGTGTATAAGGTAAATTATATTTATATCTTGAAAGTTTTTAAATTTTTTATTATACATCCTCAAAATTTATATTTTTCACATCATACCTTCAATATATAAAAGTGTTACAATGTAACTCTCCGTTGTTCTGTCTGTCAATGTTATTGGGGTGATTTTTTACGGAATGAACAACGGAAACCAACAGAAATGTCACATTGCAATATTTTAATACATTGAGGGTATAATATAAGAAATTTAATTTTTGAGGGTATAATATGAGAATTTTTAAATCTTGTAGAGTATAAAGTATAATTTATCATAATGTATGGTATATGTAATTCATTTAGCTTTTGAAATTGCCCTCTTTAGTTAAATAGTCTAAATTAAGACCTATAGCCCAATAATTAATTCATAAAATCTTAAAGAACTTCATCCATAATTTGATATCAACCAACAAAAAAAAAAAAAGAGATAACAAATCTAGAGATGTAGAAATGTTTTTCCTCTTTAAATCTAAACTTTAAGTTTTCATATATGTTTCAAAAATAGAAGTTATATCGATGGTCTAAAAAAGAATTAGTTATTCAATCTTGTGAACTAATCGAGACTAAAATTGGAGAAAGAGATACAAACGAAAATGAATAACCAATCGATGAAAGAACATGAAATCATTCTATTTAAATAGAAGTATGAGAAACAGTTGGGGGCAATAACACATTTGGCACTATAAATTATGAATATTTTCCGAATAAAAATTAGGGGTCGATAAACTCACATTTAATAACATTTTTTTAACATTCACAAACGTTAAGAGTAGTGGGTTTTTTAACTTTCAATTGATAAAATCTTACGAAGATGACACTATCATTGTTCATAAGCAAAAATGTTTCCCTGTTCTTTGAAATAACAATGCAAAATTCCATCATTTTAGGAAAAAAGGAATATAAAAGTGTTACTATACTCTTTAATCGTGAGAACAGAAGAATATACTTGTTGATATTGACATATACTACGAGAGTGGTCCACTAATAGGAACTTAATAGACACTTCTTTCTTTTTCTTTGCTGTGAATGATTTTAGTAGGCATGATTATAGTAGTCTTACTGGTTGAAAAAGCAATGATTTGAGGGGTCCATATAGGGGACTATATGCACTTACTCAAATCAAGTGGGACGCATGTAATACCGTTAAAATATGACACAAATTATTAATATAAAAATATGACATAAAATTAAAGAATTTGGATCTTTTCACACATATTTGATTAATAAATGAATTGGGTACGTGTAAAATTAATCAAAAAAAATACACGACACAACTTGTTTATATACTGATTATAGACGATTGTTACATAACACGAATTCAATATGAGACAACTCGTTGGACACAAATTAATAAATAAAGTGAATATGTGTGAATATTTTTTTTGACACGAACTCATTAAAATTTGATACAAACTCGCTTCATCCGACACAATTGACAGACATAGTCGTAAGCAACACAAATAAAAAAATAGGATTATTATGAGATGAGAATCATTATGCGTGACCGTGTTCAAGACTCAAACTTTTGATTATGTGATCTATCTAAGTACTTTCACCTAATGAATGGGGACCTCATTTTACTAACTTCTTGCATCACAACAATAGGTTTAACGACTTGTTTGGTGAGTGTATGAGTTGTCAAAAAAGGCAGTGTAGAAAATGACTTTTTATACAGCCAATGTATGTTGGCACAAGCTAGTGTTTGATGATTTCCTACATAACTATTAACTACTTTCACCATTTAAGAAAATAGACATGGAGTTTGGTAATAGTTTGACTTTGTTTGTGTATGGCCTAAAGAGTATTTAACACACGAGAATTTTTGAATTGATCTACCTAATGACAATTTATTTTGTAAGTGGTGGTACGAATCTTATGCATTGGAATCAAAAGACAAAAAAAAAAAAAAGAAAGAAAGAAAGAAAGAAAGAAAAAAGATATAAGTATAAATTACACTTTAACTCTCTCAACTATGACCTTTTTTTATTTTGCCCCAACAAGTCAGCAATTTTCATCCGAAAAGATAACAGACACTTGCGATTGGTACAATGTAAATCATGGGGACAATGTAAAAAATTCAATAGTTTAATGGATATAGTGAAAAAAGGATCATATTGTAATTTATCCCAAAAAAAAATGTGATTGTCAAGATTCTCTACAGAGTTAATTATCTATTTGACCTTTAAACTTTATCTTTTGTGTTAATCTAGTTCCTAAACTATGTTTTGTGTGAATTTAGCCTTTGAACTATGCAATCTAACTCAATGTGACTTTTTCGTCAAAATTCACCGTTAATTTTGACAAAAATTCTCACGTGCACATTACATTAGCTAGATATTAAGTTATAGTTTAGGGGGCCATGTGATGTGCATGTGTAGGATTTCGTCAAAGTTAATGGAAAATTTTGATAAAAAGGTCGCATTGAGTCAGATTGTATAGTTTAATGGCTAAATTGAAACAAAATATAATTTAGGGACTTAATTAACACAAATAATATAGTTCATGATCAAATTATAAATTTTTGGAGTTAAATTAATTTTAAGATCCATCCCGAATTATTTCAAAAATTATAAATAATTCACAAAACTTGAAAATAAAAAAACAAAACTTGTAATGATTGTACGGTAATTATATTTATGGCTTTTTGTCTACTCCCACAACAGAAAAGAAAAGGGAAAAGTTCAGCCACATGCCTCCTAATTTACTATATCTTCAAAGACACTTTATCTATTATCAAAAACATCACTGATATTCCTTCTAGTTTAATTTAAACATCACTAACACCCCATATCATAAAACTATCATTTCTAACAAAAAAAATTCATCTAAAATACTGAAAAGTACCCCAACATAAACCTCAAGTAATTTTTCTACATAAAATTTTATTAAAATTTGAATTGTTAAATTTTTTAAAAAAATTCACAAATAACAATTTTAGTAACAAATTTGTTATTTACTAATTCATAAATTTTTAAAAAAAATCGAGCCTATTAAAATTTATTTTTTACATATTAAAATTTGAGCAAATTTGAACTCTACCCGAGTTGTTAGCGCCGATTAAAATTCACTTCCAAGTTGATTAAAATTTTTATTTTTTTACTTATTAAAATTTGTGTTAATTAAAATTTGATTTATTAAAATTTGAGTCAATTAAAGTTTATATTTTTTTATGTATTAAAATTTGGGTTGATTAAAATTCAATGCAAATTGATTAAAATTTGATTTGAGTTGATTAAAAATAATTTTTAATTGGCTTAAATAAAATTTTAATTAGCCCAAATTTAATACGTAAAAAAAAATAATTTTTAATTGGATTAAATTTTAATATATAAAAAAATAAATTTTAATTAGTTTGAATCAAATTTTAATCGGCTTAAATTTTAATACGTAAAAAAAATTAGAAAACAGAGGGAGTCTCACTGAAGATATACTTATCTAGAGGGGGTCTCATTGAAGATATGTTTATCTAGAGGAGGTATAAATGAAGTTTGTTCTCAAATATATCATGGACAATTTAATAAAATTGTATTCTAGTTAATATTTTTAATTTGATAAGGGGTGTTATTGAAGATTCAAAAAATAGAAGAGTGTTCTTAAAGATATGATAAAATAGAAAGGATGTGGTTGAAATTTTCTCAAAAGAAAAACG